AAACCTCACACAGCTGCTGGCACTGTCCCCACTGCTGCTCGCCCCACGGCTGGGGAAGGCACAGCAAGGGCTGCCCAGAGCCAGGGGGGGGAGTTTCACCTTCCAGAAACTTTGATTTGGCAAAACAGAGCAGCCTGGAGAGGGAAAAACAAACATCTCCTTCTGCTGCACACCCAGGCACCACCTCTGAAGGCCCCAGAGAAGACAGCCTCAAAAAGAACTTGCTGGGAGAAACCAAACTTCTTCAAAAGGGATAAAGTTTAAAAAACAAAAGATATATATAAGGAAGAAGATTCACTTTACAGAACGCAGGGAAACTATGGTTTAAGCCCCATGGACTCTGGTGAGCGTTTGATATAAAGCCTCAGCCTTCTAGTTGAACAGCAAACGCTTGCGGTTACGCTTCGGGGGAAAAATTAGTCCAGCAAGGCTTAAATGATAAAAATTTACAAGCTTAGTGTCGTGTTGAAAGGCCACACTCTGACAGCTCCTACCTGCCAAAACAGGTTCCGTTTCAAAAATAAGAAGGAGCTCATAAATTAATAAAATCAACTTCAAATTAATTTCACTGGATAATGGTTCTGGTTGGATTTAGGACTATAACAATGGTAGAAACTTAAACAAAAAAAAAATAAAGCAGGCCCTACAGCAGGTAAAGTGCTGGCTGGAGCACAGGAACACAAACCAGACTTTTTCAAGTGTTTATTAAATCGTCGTTAGTGACACGAGTGAAGTCCCAGGGACCAAAAACCATTCCAGGGGGTGCTGCACCCAAGGAGGAAATTCACTCCAAAGGGCAAAATTCCGCTTCCAGCTCACACCCAGCCATTGCAGAACCAAACAGAAGGGCCTATGACACAACAAGCTCTTGCAAAACTCAACCAAGGTGTCACCACGGGGGGACATCCTGAAGCACCATCCCCAGCTCAGATCAAGCAGCAGGTTTGTTGGCTTTCTTGATATTTTGTGCTAATTCCTCCTTACTGGTCAACACCCAAGGGCAGACACGGGGACGTCCTCCCCTGCACAATAAAGATTGCATTTTGCAAAGAACCAAACACCGGCACCCTTTAAAAAGCAGCTCCCAAACAGGCACTTTTGTGCTGTTCTTTTATTTCCTAAGCTTTCTTTTGGCCTGGTTTAGCACAATGCTCACTATTATTACATACCCCGTGCAGACACCCCTGGTGGATTCTTCATACAAGAGTGCTGTGGAGATCAACGCAGAGAAGGAAAGCAGCCCCAGCCCAGAGTGCCACAGACATGGATATATTGGTTACTTACTGATCTGGAACTTCAATTCTTCCAGGAGGCTCGTTTGACCTTGGAAAAAGGCTGGATATTCACTAACTCGCTCCCATCAGCAGGAATTGGGTCGAAGAGCTTAAGCACCTGTGAAAGTCACGGCGCCTTCAACGTCGGAATTTTAAAGACTCGATTCATAACTCTTGAAATTTAGTAGGTTTTTGGGTGGGTTTTTTTTTTTTTTCCTGTGGGTGTTTTTCTTTTTTGAAGGATCTCCTTTGGAGAAAACACACGAAATGAGATCCACTGCTAGAAGAAGGTCTCTCTTTAAGCAGAGACCACATCTTTAAGCATCATCTTTTAAGCAGAGACCCGTCCAGAAGCATCCCCTTCTGGCAGGGTTTATCCGGGAGGTTGGTGCAGGATGAGATAGGGATGGTTAGAGGGAACTCAAAGCTGCTTGAGTGGCCCAAGCGTGTCCTCTGAAACCAGCAGGAGACAGCCCAGCAGGGGGGAAACTGTCAGTGTGTGAAACCACAGCACCCTTTTACCTCGAGCAGAGCAGGAAAGCGGCATTTTGGCTCCCTTTGTCCATCAGCAGAGCCCAGGCAGTGCCCATGGAGAGCTTGGCATCTCCTCTGCCCCTGGCAGGAGCCTCTCCATCCCTCCTCAGGGCAGAGACCAGTAAGAATCACGTGAACTGGGAGAACTGGGGGGTCCCACGTCTTCGCCACAGATTCTGCAAGGTCATTTGTGCCCAATGAAAGCTCCCTTTGCCCATCAAGACACTCTTGTCCTGCCAAATGCTCCAGGCAATTAAAGCAAAGCAATCTCCCCAAAAATCCAGCAGACAACACGTATTTCCTTTAAGCTTATTTAATGATATTTGAAACGCTTAAATTTTCTATTTCCCAGATCCTGAAAACAGATTTTTTTTTTTTTTAAGTGACCAATATTTAATTCCAGAAACATACAACCTTATCAGCTAAGTCATAAAAGAGCTATTTTACAAACATACATCTGGATAATTAGAACAATAAAGTCTTTTTAGACATTCAAACATGATCAGTAAAAATACAGGATTATTAATAAAGATTTTTTGTGTATTTTTTAAAGAATACTTCCAGATTTTTTCTTCTCTTTAAAGTAAATCTCTGTTAAGAGTACATGATTGTATGTTGTACAAAGAAAATAAAAATATTCTAGTATGAAGAGAGCTCCACAAGACTTAATTCAAAATAAAACAGCAGTGTTTTGGCTGCAGTATCCCTTTTGCAGTACATCTGCTTGTCAGTTGGCACCTTTGGGGGAGAGGGGAGGAATGAAGGGATTTCTTTGGGGAGCAGGGGGAGAAAACAACACCAGATACCATCAAGCACTGAGATTATATTCCAGGGTCAGCTGCTGGGCTTCAGACCCCCCCTTCTCGTAACAGGGACAGTATCAATAAATCAGAATATCTAAGTTTTATGAGAACACTGGAAATAGGCATGGTGCTGTCTGAAAGCTGACCAAAACCATCTAGACTTCTTAGTTCTTGAGGCTTATGTTCCTCATCCATCCTTCTGATCCCACCTACAGGATGGATGAGCTATCTCCCCTCCCTACAGCCAAGGTATGTTCAAGAAACCAGAGCTTAGCACTTGCCCTTCGACAGAAAAGGGAATTCCCCTTCCCAGAAAGTCCCCATCTGACTTTCCTGCTTGTCCATGAACTATATCCCGTGACAGCAGAGGAGAAATCTTTGTTCCCAAGGTAAGAAACCGTTGCTCATCTTGGACTTGCTGGGGAAGGGGGAAGGAAAACCAACAACCCCACCAAAACGCTGGGGAAGAGGGGCTGGGGCAACCAACCAGAGAACCTTGTCTTGCTCTGCTGTCCAGTTTGAATAAGGGAATGTACAATCCATCAATCACCAGCCAGGGGAAAATTAAAATGCTTCTTACACTGGAAACTGGAATTTTAAGAAGGGTCATCTTATGGCTTAAAGGGGGGGGAAAAAAACAACAGTGAGAGTCCTGAATAGTGCATTTGAGTTCCAGCTCCTTCCACGCAGCAAGCCATGGCCTGAGGTCTGCCATACAGTAGGTGTGCTACAGAGGAAACAGAAATCCCCTGGGATTTCAGGTTACTGCTCCCAGAAGAGAATGGATCCCTCACCCCACCACTGCTTTCCTAGAGGAGTAATGCCCTGGTTGTGAGGATGATCAACGTAGCATCAGGCGAGCAGCTGAAACACAACCCAACCAGGCCAGCACAGCGTGTCACTCCTGCTGCCCATCCAACTGGGTTGGGTCTTCTCCAACATCCCTCCGAGCTCCCTGCAACCTCCTGCTCTGGAAACCGTTCGTTTCATCCAGCACAAAGGTTTCTCTGCATCATCACCAGCCTGATACAAACCGTGCATCTTTGCTTTTTTACCATTTATTTAAGGGAAGAAGGGACTACAACACCAAGTTCTGGCTATAGCCCAGTTCTCTTTCTGGCAGGATGGGGTAAGAGATGCCCCATCAGCGTGAGGCAGCGTTCTAGTCTGGGGGGTCACCAGAGGAAATTTGGATGTTTATAACCAAAGGAACCGTATGGCTGAGGGTGAGGAGGGGAGATCCCACCCACGTAAGAATGGAAGAAAGAAGCTAATACTGACAATATACTCCTACAGGTGCAGCAGGACAGGCCTCGGTGAGTCCCGAGAGGAAGCTCCTGCCAGCCTGGAGGAGAAGACTTTGGCTTGTGTTGGCAGTGCAATGCTCTGCTGGTGAAAAAGGGTACTTTGTGCAATTGGCTCTTGAAACAAGAGCAACTCCTCCCTACTCTGCGAGGCCTCATGGCTCCAACTCTGACATCAGGCCCAAAATCATCTCTGCTCAACTTCTGTCAATCTTTGCATGAACTTATCCCTTGTATATTTTTAACGGGAAGAACAAGAACTGTTGTTTTTTTTCCTACGTGAGTAGACAAAGGACAGGTCTGATTTCTTGCCAGCAGCTAAAAAGAAAACGTTTGTTTTAAAGGAGCAGGGAGTATGATTTTTAAGCTGACCAAAGACATATTCTCAGCAATCCAGGAAGCATGCAGTGATGCAAACCACGCTACAGCCATTCCAAGGTGTGACTGGGATTTACAGGTTTGGCATGCAGTTCAGTTTGGGTTCATTAAATACTTCCAAACTTGGGAAGAGGGTGCAAAAAAAAAAAAAAGACTGCCTTACACACTCTGCAGCTGTATTCATGGTGTCTATGACACCAGGGACAGCTTGAACCACCCTAAGCCAAGCAGGAAGAGCCTGTCCTAGGCCCAGGTTCAGAGCAGAGGCTGCCCAGCCTTAGCTCTGCTGTAGCCTGATTATATTTAATTACCATCTTGTTCCCAGCCTGGAAGGAATTCCAACAGCAAACCTCACTAGGACAGCCCTAAGGACTAGGGAGCAGTTTCAGCCTTCTTTGTTTTTGCACATCTCTGTTGCAGTGAGAACACATTGGCACAAATCAGTTTTAAAAAAAAAACCAACCAAACCAAAACCCACCCCTACCCCGCCAAAAAAACCCCCCAAACCCACCCCAAGCCCTCAGCAAGACATACTTTCAGGTACTAAAACTTACTGGCCCTATTAATCAGCAGTACCTGTGGCTAACTCAAATGGCAGCCCTTATTCATTCAGTAGTGAATCAGGGGCAGATCTGCCCCACATCTTTGAAACACTTCTGGGTTTGCATTTTTTTTCTTTTTGATCCAGAGAAGAGTTACAAAAGTGCTGCAGGTCCAAGTATTTTTATCACTTTACAAAGGAGACAATGATCAAAGCCAACAAAGTCAAGAAAAAAAAAAAATTAAACCTATCTTTCTCCTCTCCCAGTATAATCTTGCATGTCAACAAAAGAGACCTCTAATGGGAGAGGGGAAAAAAGAAAATTTGCCCATCTGAAGTGCCTGGCTATTTAGTGCATGGAAAAGTCTTGGTAGGCGTGTGGTGACACGAGCAGTTCCCATGCAATTGTTGAATACAGCTAGTTCCAGCCACGAGTCATCCTGACACCTTCATAAGTAGCTCTTGGCCTGGCAGTCTGAGTGCCAGCAGGGAGTGCAGAGTCCAGTCCAGTGAAGATGCACTTGCACACAGGCACCCCCCCCTGCCCCCAGCCCTGCCCCTCGCCTCGGGAGCAGGGGCAAGCAGGGTGCACCACATGCAGCGGGCTAGAACTGTCACTACCCAATTAAAATAGAACAAAAAAAAAAGGCAGATTAAAAAATTAAAATGTGCTTTTGATACACGGAATGAAGTCAAATAAATACATTGATTTTTTTTTTTTTTTTTTAAATGTCTAAATACATTTTTTATATCCTACACCCAAAGCTCTGTACATTTGGTTTGGTTTTTTCTGTTCTGAAAAATGAATTTCTGGTAGCAAGGAGAGGAGCAGAATAGAATAGACTCCCTCACTGACAAGATAGTGCAGATGCCCCACAGGAAAAGCACCCCATGCCCACTTTGCTAGAGTATGGTTCATGTTTGGATGGTCCAAACCCTCTCGTCTCAGAGTCCACAAGGAAGACAGCGGGTGCTGTGTCCTGATACTCTTCATCCAATCTTCAGCCACTCCAGGAAACATGACTAGCTTTTCTCTGAAGGAGGAAAAAAAAAAGGGGGGGAAAAGAAAGGTTGGTGAGAGACAGAGTGCAATGAGAGATTCAGCCATTGGAATGGGCTGCCCAGGGAGGTGGTTGAGGCACCATCCCTGGAGGTGTTCAAAAGATGGGTTGATGAAGTGCTGGGAGGTCTGGTTTAGTGATGATGCTCCTTGTTTGTTGTGTGGGTGTCTATTTTTGTCAGTGAGGTTGACGGTTGGACAAGATGATTTTTAAGGTCCCTTCCAACCTAGAGGATTCTGTGATTCTGAGATGAATGCCTACCATTTCTGAACACTAGCACTAGGAGAGAGAGCCCGTTATATGAGAGACAGCACATCCATTTAACCTTAAGACCTTTGTTAGTAATTCCAGCAATTACATCTCTAGGATGCCTAAGGCCAATTTAATGGACCCATGGCAACCACTTTATACAGCATCAGAGACACCCCAGAGAAAGAAAAGGAGATTGTAATCATTTTACATGTTCAAAAATCTTCCTCTGGGACATTACATCAATCTAGCCTTCTTTGAAAGAGCATTGGTAAATCCTGAGGTGTATGTCTTTGGCAGGCAAAGGTGAGACAGGCTGCAAACAACCTTTTCAGAGGAAGGAACAAGCTCCTCTGCACATGTGGGTCTCAACAGACTCCGCTGACCTTTTCTGGAATCGGCACGGTCTCAGCCCTGGGAGAGCTGCTGAAGGAGGGGAAACCTTTTGTGCGTGTGTGAGGAACATGAATAATTGAGTTTGTGCTCTTTGTTTAATGTCTGAAGCTAACCTGGTATGTGCTCCCCAGTAAAGACAGTCGGGCTGCCTACCTGAGTGCTCTCCCACGGAGGCTGAGCCAGCCAGCCCTTGGCGTCGGAGGATGGTGTAGTCTTCCTCAACCTCCTAAAAAACAAAAACAACCCCACAACTCAAGTGGCTCTTTCTCTGTTTAACAACCAAACAAAGGGGCCTTCAAATGGGAAAAGAGAAGTTTCATTACAGGTGAGCGGACTGGAATTGTCAGTGTTGCACAGTGACCCACCATGGATCTCAACTCCTTCATCAGCATCTTTATCAGGCCTTCCATTCACATGGAGACCCAGAGATGGGTCCAGAGAAAGGCAACAAAGCTGGTGAGGGGTCTGGAGAATAAGTCTTATGAGGAGAGGCTGAGGGAGCTGGGGTTATTCAGCCTGGAGATGAGGAGGCTGAGGGGAGACCTTATTGCTCTCTCCAACTCCCTGAAAGGAGGGTGTAGAGAGATGGGGGTCGGTCTCTTCTCCCAAGTCACAGGCGACAGGACAAGAGGAAATGGCCTCAAGTTGCGCCAGGGGAGGTTCAGGCTGGATATTAGGAAAAAGTTTTTCACTGAAAGGGTTCTCAGCCATTGGAATGGGCTGCCCAGGGAGGTGGTGGAGGCCCCATCCCTGGAGGTGTTCAAAAGACGGGTTGATGTAGTGCTGGGAGGTCTGGTTTAGTGATGGTGCTCCTTGTTTGTTGTGTGGGTGTCTATTTTTGTCAGTGAGGTTGACGGTTGGACAAGATGATCTTTAAGGTCCCTTCCAACCTAGAAGATTCTGTGATTCTGTGATTTTATTTTCAGATTTTAGTTAAATTAAAGCAGAACTACCTGCTGCTTGTAACCCACAACTCAATGCAAGCAAAACAGCACCGAGTTTCTGCTTCAAAAGCTTCCAGCAGTAAGACTCAAAGACAAAAAAGGGCATGGCCGTCTTTCTTCCTGCTCAAAATGATTTTCAAGCTCTTTTCTGAAACAAAACCTAGGGAAAATGAAAACTCTGCCACTGCAAATAGAAACATACTATACCTTTAACTTTTCAAGGTCGTCCTCTATCTTCTGAATATACTGCATCATCTGCACGCGCGACTCTAGAGAGAAGTGAGGGCTTGCTACAAAGGAGGAGGACTCTTCTGCTCCCCCCCAGCGTGAGGCCATCACCATCTCCTCGGCAAACGGGGAGCCCCCTCCGTCCGACTGGGTGTCCCGGGGGGAAAGTGGCTGCTGCTGCTGCTGCCCAGAGTCCAAAGCGGTGCGGCCACCTGCAGTGCACTGGAGAACCAGGGATGATACCTCCTCGTCCGTGGAGCTCTCCTGCACCGTTCCATATCCATCAAGGATCAAATAATTTCCTGTGAAGAGAACAGCTTTTTACTAACACCTCCAGCTCCGTAATCACCAAGAACCACTGAACTGGAGATAGTTTAAGCAGACTTTAAGAAAGATAAGTGGCGAGAGGCCCATCTCCCGAGACATTTTAAAATGGATAAGAAAAAGCATTTATGAACACCAGGCAGAACGGTGATTCTATCAGACCAGACTAGTTTGGTTCTGAATTGGGCTTCAGAGATCACGGCAGCTTTTCAGACTGCAGTTGGAGAATCACAGGATTAGATGAGCTAATCACCTACCGTCCTGTTTTCCCAAAATCTGCGTTTCTATTAGAACGTCTGGAAATCCTGCGCTTGCACTAATGGTACCTGAGAAATCAGACTGCTAGATTGCTAACTTCCACTAACTAGCTGTGGTACTGAGGATGCTTTTAGATGCCTCAGCTTTAAAATTTAGCTTGCTGATGGTATGTTAAAAGATAAAGCAATTATAAATGGAAACGCTTTCGCAACCCGCACTTAGCGATAGGTTTATATTAAATAATTTCTCTACAATATTTCAGCAAAGTTAGCATGTGGAGTCAGAATTGACTAAGAACAGGTCAACCTAATTTTGATGCCCCTACGCAGTTAAGAAAGTAAACAGCATAAGAGGTGACAAATAAATTAGATGCTTCAAATTGTCGGCGCAGTTTTAATAATTTAAAATGTCTCAGTAGTTCAGGGAAAGAAAAATGATTTTCAATCCGTAGGTTGGAAGGCAGCATTCAGACAGTCACAAATTGCCTGATTCGCATTGACAGAATCCAATTTTTAAATAAAAGCATATTTATGAAAAAGAGATTTCAAGACTAATAGACATATAGCATCTACCTACTAGTAGCTACTTCCACTACAACATGCAAGAGATAAATCTCAACTTCTGTGGTAAATTTAATGCGGTGTCACCCTGTCAGCTGATCAAAATCACAGCCCTTTCCAAACACAAAGTGTGCAAAGTCCCATGGAAGTGCTCCCAGCTGCTGTCCTAGAGTTAGTTTTCTGCTGGGTTAACATCTCTACAACATTCTTGAAGGTTAGAGTAGATACACTTCGAGATGCTGCTCAGGCAACTGCCAAATACAGCGTATGTAGTAATAATAATAGGGATAAAAAAATAATAAGCTTTTAAGAGCTTCAGACTGGAGTAAGGTCACGGGAGTCAATTAAGCGTGCAAAGCTGAACTGGAGGTTTCTTTTCTGAAGGTTGATCAGGAGAAGGCAACACAGTATCTACAAAACAGCACAAGTCATGAGGGCTCGGTGTGCACAGGCCGAGGAAGTGCTTTGCCTTCAGGGAGAACATTTTTCCCTACAGGTCCCAACAGCCAGTTGAGAGATAAAGTGGTCCAGTGCCAACCACAATCAAGAGCTCACATAGTGCCCGTGCCTCTGTAATTACAGTTTGTCACAGTGTATTAACCACACAGTATTTCAGCTTCTCCTTTCATAAAATAGCAAATTCATTAAGTACATGTTTGCAAAGCCCTTTTCAGGGCTAAACTGACTGTCAAGGTCTGAGAATTAACTTGAAATGTCCTATACCATATAAGTGAGGAAAACATACTGTGATTTTCTTTAGGATCATCTATTTAAAACTGAACTCAAGTCTCTAATGCTGAATCGGGATGGACTATGATTCAATGAGTGAATGAAACGTGCTCACCTGAGATCCGTATTTGCACATCCTCTTCCTCCTTCCTCTCCATTAGTTCACTTTCAGATGGATTTTCATCACTGTGAGCTTCTCGAGCATCAAAAAAATGCTCTCCACTGTCGTCAGCACCCACCCCTTCCAGCTCTGAGGTCGAGATCTCCAGGTTGACACTCATGCGGTCTATCGCCGAGCTACTGCTCGACCCGGGGTCTCTCCCAGCCAGCTGCATGGCATCCCCTGAACCTGCTGATTCACCTGAAGTCCGGAGGCCATAATTAGCTGTGGACTCATTAGTCCCGGTTCTTGGAAGCGTTCTGTCTGTTCCAGGCTGGTGAAATTTGTTATTCTCAGAGTGCTGTAGTCCAGGCTCACTCCCACTCTCCGTTTGGGCTTCTTGAGAAACGGTCCTAAACCTGGGGAAGCGCTGCCGGCTTTCGAGGGTCCCCTTCTCAGAGAAGCCAAGCTGCTGCACCAACAACTGCTTCAGCAGGCCCACTGCAAGGAGAGACAACGGTCACCAGGCTTCACCTCCATAGCCTCCCTAACAGTCAACAAACTAGGCATAAAGGCTACCCTTTCAGAAAGGCGTATCTCATAGCAGCCAGCCCTCTCATTGCTCTTGGTAAGAAAAACAGGGATAAAAATAAATAAGTATGGTCTGAAGCCTCCATCCATGTTTTACCTTACAAGTGAGAGCAAACATGTCCGTACAAATTCCATCATGCTTACGGAAAAACAAAGAAATCACCTAATGAAATTATCCAGCATTGAGTCTGAGTGCAGGTGAGTGCCCAGGGTTCACCCGTGCCCTCACATGAACTAAAACCTATGGCCATAAAAGGGGATTCCACCTGAGAAACAAGTATATTGAGAATATCCCACTCAACTTTGAAATGACAGATCAAAAAATTTGAAGACACATCTTCCCTAAAATTTCATGTAAATTTATGCTTGTTTGAACTTCAACCCACATTCCTTTAGCTCTCAAATTATCCCAACCAAACACTTCATAATAAGGACACATTGTTCAAAACAAAAATGTGATACTGTCAAGAGCAGAAGCAGCCTGCTCGTTCTCACCATGTAATGCTCATGTTCCACCCAAGATAAGCTCTCATTTCATACAACAGAACAGTTGCTCATCTAAGTGGAAGGCTCCTGTCACAATGTGAGTGACCCACTGCTGCTGTTGGAGGGCTGCTCTTTTAAGTCTGAATAGTCATGAGATGCTGGGGCACTAATACTGTCTTTACACACCCCACAGACTAAGATTATCTTATCACTGCTCTCTGGAAACAAGTACCAAAAACACTTGTGTAGCATTCAGCCTTAGAAAAGCACTTTGAATCCTGTAAGAAGGGGAAGCATAAATAGAATCCCATTTGGGTTTGCTCTGCTGTAATCCACAGCACAGAGAGAATTGGTATTTAATAGAAATGGGCTTTAGATTTTTATTTTAGCTCATTGATTTAGATGGCTGACCTAAGAATTTCTATCTCTAAATCACATCCCACCAGCCACTGCCCACAGATACTCACAGTTCCTTAATGCATCCAGTGCCCACTGTCCTTCTGATACCGGAGGCAAACTGGTGGTTGTGTGTTCATAGCAAGCAGGAGACTCTTTAAGTGTCAGCTCTGCCTGCTGCACCTTATCAAACTGTCTTTCTGAAGCAAGAAGACTTTCTACCTTGGACTTTTCAGACATGATGGGCGAAGAAGACTGAGCGTTCAGTATTAAGGGAGACTCGAGGCCCAAATCTTTATCTGGAAAACACAAAACATACACAGGTTAAACAACTCTGTCAAATACGATGATAAACTGCAGAAAATTCTGTTTCCCACAGAAGTCTCTGAAAACGTTAAAAAAATACAGTTCTTGAGCATGGGCTTGGTAAAAGGCCAATTCTTTCCAGGGGAAAAAACCTGATCTTTCCCAGCAATTTATAAAATAGGTGGAAATAGTAAGAGGTGAGTTTCCAATAGGTTCAGTATCGCTTCTCTACATAACTTGTAAAAAACCCATTCCTTTCCAGAAAAATGTGTCATCTTCCAAAGGATCCCCAAGCCACAGGGAATACGGACATTTGTACTCCACGTAGCAAATGTACTGATACCATTTACCCAGACCACTGTTCTACCTGGACTTTGTAGGCTACTGGCAGGAATGTCGTGCTGCTCTTTGAGCTTCTGCTGTACCTCTTCTTCACGCTCTTCTCTGCAGGGAGGAGAGAATGAACACGTTCCTTTAGTCACACACATCTGAATCCCTGCATGAGAATCCATGCTTTGGCTGGCAATTTTTGAGCAGAAGAAGGGGTACTGGAAAAAGAAAAACCAGCCCCTTCTTCATCCAGCTACTTTGACTTACTCGCCAGGTCCTGACTGTGGTAATGGAATCACTCTTCTTGTACTCTCCATTTTTACAGTCCCTGCCATCTGAGCTATAAGGTCCTGCCATCTGCAGTAGAAACATCAAATAAAAACATGCAAGACGTGAAGCATAATGAACACTTCTCAATTTAACACCTCTTAAATCCCACTAATATACATCCACACACACATGCTCACCAACATATGCATATACACCCTCTTATTTTTACAAGTTGAGAGAGACTATCCTTGGATTCTTCCTACATAGGCCAACATAGCTATGTTTTCAGCTAAGCTTAGAGAAGGAAACTCAGGTAATTCATGGCTGCCTGCACAGTTAGTACAGGCAGGCAGATGTAAAAGCTCGCTCACGTACAACAAATCAAGCAGCAGATGGAGCTGAACCAATTACTTACACATTCTTTTCTGAAACAGTCTGTGCCACCAGTTCATAAATATGAGCGCCATTTTCTGACATGGAGATGACGAAGAAAGCTTTGTTATCTGAAGCAACACAGGGAGAGAAGAGTTTAACTAGATGCCCAGTCCCATATAGCTTTCTGAAAATTCATAAAATTGGGCATAACGCCAACCAGAAGGAATGAAAGAAGAGTTCATGAGATAACCCTCCAACACTATAATATACAAACATTGATCTTTCCCTATCCAAGAAATTCGTGTCTTAGTCCTGAAAGAAAAGAGCCATTACTGCCTAAACCATTTTGAAACAGATTTATTTCTCCTCTTTTCCCTCCTAATAATTTCTAGAGTACCTTTCATCTAACACAATTAGAGTACTTCTAATTTAGAAGTCTATTTAAAACTCATGCTGTGCCTATTACTGATGCAAAGAAGTTAAACAGCTCATACATACAAAGCAAGACATCGGACAACCAAAAATTAAGCCTACACATTTTTCCATGTTCTGCTCTGTAACTCTAGACAAAAATATCTATCCTCAACCCATCTAATCTGAATTTTTGGCTTCCTCTTTTGCTTTCTCACTTGGTTACACTGACCTGTTGCCACCTGACGAACCAGAACGGTGTTCAGTTTGATGATAGGACTGAAGGTGTGTTTGCTGTCAGCTGTCGATGCCAAGATTTTACTGTGACACTTCAGTACCAGTTTATCATCTTGTTTCTGCAGCAGCACCAGAATGTCCTCCAGAAGCAGAGTGTAGAGATCTGCACGGAGGGCAAAAGAACCCAGAATGAGTTAAAGATTCATAGTTTTGAGTTTTCACAGCCCTGCAGAAAGGAAAAGGCTGCATTTTTGATTACTCATGCAGAGGCAGTAATCAGCGCTATGCCACTCTAAACTAAGCTTGCAAATCTTCTTCATCAAACTACAGCAGAAAGCTGCAGATAGAATTGGATCATCTCATGACTGACTGCTGTGTCCCTGCATGGCCTTAATGACACTCCAGCACATTTCTGAATTGACAAGAATAATTTAATCAGCTCTGAGAAACACACAAGACAGTATTATAGGTGGCAGTAAGAATCGTAATTGGAAATTGCAGAAATGCTTTCCCTTTCTCAGCAAACACACACAAACCCAACCGAGTCAGCTCATGGAACAGGACTCACCGATAGTTTTGTCACGATTCACCTTCCAAGTTAGAGGTCCTTCATGAAGCATTTTTCTCTTTGTCAGGTCCAAGTTCTGTCACCAGGGGAAAGAAGAAAAGAAGCACTATGAAATGTCTGTGGAAGCAAAGCATGGGAATGTCAGAGGGAAGGCTAGGATAGACACTCCTGTTTGGAGATGAGCAGCTAAACCCAGGCTGGAAACAGAAACATGGAACCGAAGTAGGTCACTTTGTAAAGCAAACTCTTGTGAGAGGTGTTTGGTATCACTCTTCCTCTTCCACTGCTCTTTTGCAGATGTCAGGGATTATAGGGTAGAGAATCTTCCTACTGAATCAAGCTACTAAGGCATTAGGATATCACCTGATTTCTAGAGGAGTTTTCCAGTATCACAGTTCTAGTGTTACACCTGGTTAATGCTTCAGCACTCGATTTGCAAGTCAAGTGTGTGCCTACAAATGATGTACCGATACACAAATCATTCCAATGATCTGATGGACTTTATAATGTCAATGGATTCTTCAGTCATTTCAGTGCTTGTGACATTTAGATCTACAGGCAAGTAGAAGTGACAGTTTTCACAAGTCATTCCTTCCAACTCACAGAGTCTACAATCAATGACAGCAAGATTTCATAACTGCCAGTAAGTTCTTCATTTTCTAACTAAACGCGTGCAAGCTTATTTGTGGAATGCTACATGATGCAGTTTTATAGAGGAGTCTTCATGCAAAAATGTCTTTTGGCTTTGGAGAAGATAGGGGAGTGATAAATAAACAACAGGGAATCTATACAAGACATGGGAATAGACAGTGGCAAAAATTAGGAACTGGGGATAAAGTACCAAATCATAACAAAAAGGTGCAGAAGCAAAGGGAGAAGAGCCCTTGTGTGGAAGTTGCTACATGAGTTTCTTTTAAAGCCAATTTAATCACTACACCTCATGGCTCTCCAAATCCTTCCTGGTTCCAACAGCACACCTAGGAGGTGTGATCACATGAGACACAGAGCCATAAGAAGATTAATCATCCACCAGCTCTCTCTGATGTGCTTACAGATGTGCATTACCTTGCACACCATTAACATTTGTTTAACAGAACTTTTCAAGCTTCATCAGCACTTCAATGTGCAGAACCAAGTTGTTACATCCCCAGAGATCTTCAGGAAAACTCAAATTTCTGAAACTAATGGTTTTTATTTTTTTATAGAAATCGTTATCTCCAAAGATACATCAGATTGCAGCAGAAAAGCCACAAACTGCACAACAGGGCTGCAATCACCATTTACATAGAGATTGCTTCAGTGTTGTCACTCACCCTGAACTCATCCATCATGGGATCCTCCGACTGCTTCAAGTAGGACAGGTCAAGACGACGCTGATAATCTTCCAAATGCTGCAGAAAATGCAATGAAGATGGTGACTTTGATTAGGGAGACTCACGAGCTCCAGGGTGCAGGGAGTCATGACTACTTCCTCACATTCCCCAAAGCCTGGCATTCCTCCTCTTACAGGAATAGTTGGGCCCCAAAACTTCCTTAAGCACAATATAAAGTCACTAGTGCAGAAACTCTGGGTGTCTTAACCAGCTTGCTGCCCTTCAGCTCTCTTCTCCCCAACCCTTGATGCTCCCACCTGCTTGTTCTCAGACTCTTTGACAGCCTGGTTCACGTGGTTGAGGATCTGACGACAATGATCTGCTGCTTTCTTCACTTTCTCTTTCTCTTCGGGCAGCTCTGCAAGAGAAAAAGGAAATATAATAACACTCTCCTATAAAGGTTGAAAAAGTCAGGAATCTAGTGCAGTTTGCTGACCTCAAGTTTGAGAAAGAGAACTTAAATTCTCAGAAAAGCCTATTAAAAAAAGCACTGCATTTCAAAAGTGAAGTGACAAAACTAGATTTGGGACAAGATTCATCCTGCCCTGTATAAGACACCGGCCCCTGATGATCACCGTACACAGCACAGCACTTCTAACTCCCTTTTCGTGACAACTATTCACTCCACAGACATCAATCTGAGAAATCTAAAAAGTTTAATAAGACTCCACTGTGGTACAAAGAGAGTCTGGGGTAGATATTTAAGATGACACACAGCCAGCTAGCCAAAGTCCCAGGATTCAGCAACTGACTACTGGCTCCTGTGCCTCTCACAATCTTTTTTATTAATTTATTTATTTAGTAAGAGAGGGAAACAGACAAAGAAACATCATAAAAAATATATTTCTTTAAGGTTTTACAGAAAAATTTTTTCCATCCAGATAACCTGTATTTCTTTTAACAGCTCAGAAAAAAAAATAAATATCTCTGGCTACATTCATGCAGCCTGATTATAAAAAGCAGTCTTTTATTACAGCAACAGCAAACAGGAGTTATTTTTCCAGTCAATATCACTTGATCATACACAGATAGACAGAGGTGAACCTCATAAATTCACACTACCACAGCCACATTAAGAATTTAGTTAACAGGCAAATAAACAAGTACATCAAAGATAATGGAGTATCACGTGCTTTCCTAATTATGATTAGATAAATGCAATATATTTTTATGAGTAATGAAATTACACTGCAGCAGGTATCTGCTAGTAAACCTGAAAAGGCATTTCATGGTATTATTAATCATATTTTCAACTGTTCTGCTGGCAATATCTTTCAGTGGAACCCATCATAGCTAAACTCCTCCCTCTGCAAGAACATGAAAACCTTCTGTAGTGCTTCAGAGATTCAACAGCTGAGGAAGATCAAGATTCTGGTGGTGGTTATCATGCAGGGAAGTATTTCTTTCTAAGTTCAATCTCCTTCAAATTCTTAGTTGACATTATATTGATAACATCCAAGATTTTTATATGAAGTTTATTTTATATCAGACCTTAGGGTTGTAGGTCAGATTGCACTCTCAGCGCACATTTTTCCCAGATATTGGGAATTTTGAACAAATAGTACAGAGGATTGATTAAAAGAAACCAAACCAAAACAAAAACGCACCCCTGGTCGATAACAAGAAAACCTTGACCTTAAAAAAAATCAATTTGTTCTGTATCATCCGCTTTTTGTTCTCTTCTTAAAGAAACATGTTGATTTGCCAAAAGCCTTAACACTCCGTGATTTTTGCTTAGATTCTATAATACCTTCCTTTTCTGCTTCCTTGCTCAGAAGTATGGCCTATATCTATCCAGGCTTATTTAAGCAAAGGCATAACTTGATAGATTTTTATTAGATTCTTCATTCTTCACATTTTTATGTTAGTAATGGACGATTAGGGATTTCTGTTATTGAAGATCTTATTATTTTTCTGTCTCAAACACATCTACATGGAAATTGGAATTCACTTAAATGTATTTTCTCTTAATAGTTTGATTTAGCTATCTTAATGTCCTGAGTTTAAAAAAAAGTGTTTATCAGAGCATGTTTGTAATTGAAAACCAATTTATTGAAACAAATAGAGTGCCATCTTTAGTGATTGAATTCTTTCTAGTTACTGCCTCCTTCAAGATTGTAGAAAGGAGTTAAATATATCTAGAAAATTACAGAAAGAACAAGCATGCTAATGACTATTCAAAACAATAGCACAAATGCAACTTCCCTCACAGTAAGTTCCTAAAGATTTGGTTGCTAAGAGCATGTAATAAGAAAGAGTTACAAGAGAGCTGCTCTTTTTCCTCTGTTTCTTTTTCTTCTGAATGTCACCCCATCTACTGCCATTATCACATACTCACATAGAATCATTGCTGATTATTTCTGAATGTTCCTATAAAGGTGTAGAGAAAATATTTTCTTCACTTCCATTTGGTTGTGACAATCACTAAAACCCATTAATAACAGTAATAGTGTAAAAATAAGGACAGGCTAAGAACTGGAGAGTGGAGACAGGAATTCCTGGCTTCCTTCTTCAAAAACTAAGGGCAAATCCAGTTTTTTGCCAGTAACTTTCATTAGCAGAGTGTTTCAGTTTATCTTCAAAACTTTAGCATTCTCCTCACCTAACTTTTTCAAACTGTATTTTAATTATTATATTGCACTCTAGATACACTACAACCCAATGCAGAATGTCATTCACTTAGTTCATGTTGAATTTCTTTTTTTTTTTTTGTAAGAAAGAAAATGAATTTAATTTAGAAACAAAGACTGGGTTTTTTAATATTTTTTAACCTGCCCTCCTGTGCAGAAGGCAGCAGAAAGGTCACGATGAAAACAGATAGTGACCCATAAAATTAAATTACTCTTCCACACACGTTTTTAAATCACATTTGCCTAGAAACATGCTGAGATGCATGCCCAAACCCTAGTGGAAAGGCTGTACCTGTGTACTTAGCAATGTTATCCAGCAGAAGGGGGTACTTAGTCAACCTCTGCATCTCTGTGGGAATGATATCCTTCAGCTGCAACCGGCGACACAGCGGATTACTCTCAGCATCCTAAAATTAAACAGCACAATAAGTACATTTGTCATTTTTATTAAGGCTATAATTACCTGAACGTGTAACATCTATTCATCACATAAACGTCTATTACTTCACTTTCCAGTAATTAAATACAAGACAAGAAATGCCAAGATCTATCATTCAGACAACACATCCCCTCTCCATTTGCAATTACACATAGGAAAGGCTCATCATCAAAGCAGCAGCTTCCTTCCCTCATTACTTCCCAGAGCTCTGGTACCATCTCCAATCAATCTCAGTCACCACCACACAGGGAAGACATCAGCTTGGGCTTTCACACTCTAGCTTTCACGGAACATTTTTCAACCTAACCTCAACCCTTGTATTACCAGAGTTCTTCCCAGCCTGTGGTAATGAAGATAATGTTCTCTCCTCCAAATGCCACATGTTTTCAAGCCCCTTTCCTGGCAGCAAAGTAGGTGTAACATCATCTGTCTTCTGCCCGTGGCATGCATCAGAACTGCACTGCTCTAAGCAGTTTCCCCAACAGAAGTACTCATCCTTGGCAAACGGGCACCTCAAGTGAAATGCCATCTCCTGCCTGGGACAGCATGTGCTTTCCTGCATTCTATCAGGACATTCTTGTATTCCCCAGAATTAAAGACTCCTCCCTCCAGAAACGATGAGCAGAGATACAGTATTGGAAACGATGCCAATCAAGATGATGTTAGACATGATGTCATTAATTATAATAGCTTTATCTACAACCATTCATTATGCTATACTGGCCACCAGCCACATCCTCAGGCAACTCAAAGCCTTGCATAAAGTTCACCTGCACAAAAGTCTGGAAGCGAGAGTCCTTCTTCTGGCGTGACTTGATGACCTCCAGAGCAAAGGGCTGGTTACTGCAGAAAGTGGCAGTTGCGTGTTTCAGCTTCTCCTCTGCTGGTCCACTAAACTGTGCCAGAAAGCCAAGAAAGCCAAATTTAGACAGACTCAAGTTCAGCATGTGCCAGTTTCAACAGACAAGGAGCCACGTTGCAGAACTCATCAGGGAAAAAGGTAATTACTGGAAAAATATGAGATGCCACTTCCACCTTGTTCCTCAAGCCTTGTCTGCCCAGGCTACCGAGGAACCCCTTTACACCTCACACTCTACAGTTCTGCTGCCTCCAGTCCTAGCACATCCAGTCCTTTCTACAAATGCACAGCTGATTCAGAGGGAAAATACAGTGCCATGTCTTCACCTTCAGTTGTAAGGAGAGCAGAAAAACCTGCACTCACATGAGTGACAAGGGATTATTACAAGCCCAGAAGGCCAATCGCATCCTGGGCTGCATCAAAAGCTGCGTTGCCAGCAGGTCCAGAGAGGGGATTCTTCCACTTTACTCTGCTCTGGTGAGACCTCACCTGGAGTATTGTGTGCAGGTCTGGAGCCCTCAATATAAGAAGGACATGGACCTGATGGAGAGGGTCCAGAGGAGGGCCACAAGGATGATCAGGGGGATGGAGCACCTCTGCTCCGAGGACAGGCTGAGGGAGCTGGGGTTGTTCAGCCTGGAGAAGAGGAGGCTCCGGGGAGACCTAATAGCAGCCTTCCAGTACCTGAAGGGAGCCTACAGGAAGGCTGGGGAGAACCTGTTTAGAAAGGCCTGCAGTGACAGGACGAGGGGCAATGGCTTCAAGCTGGAGGGGAACAGATTTAGACTGGAGATGAGGAGAGGGTTCTTCACTGTGAGGGTGGTGGAGCACTGGAACAGGTTGCCCAGGGAGGTGGTTGAGGCCCCTTCCCTGGAGATATTCAAGGAGAGGCTCGACGAGGCCCTGGGCAACCTGGTCTAGTTGGGGGTGTCCCTGCTGACTGCGGGGGGGTCGGACTAGATGGCCTTTGGAGGTCCCTTCTGGCCTGGGCAACTCTATGATTCTATGATTCTATTTACCAGACTGTTGGTCAGCAAAGCCAAGACCAAAGCTCATCTTTTTTCTCAGGGACACCCATGCTTACACACCACAATATAACATTACACTTTGTTTCCTAAACAAAAGTACTAAAAAAAACATGGCTAGGAGAAATGATAGCCACGAGCAGGGCTGAGAAATGTGCTGCAGGTGACAGATGGTTAATCTGTTACTGCAATTGCAACTCTGCCCGTTCCTGCTGCCCAGCCTGCGATGCAGCACAGTGACTCCTCAAAATACTCTGGAGAACAAGATCCTGTGCTTTTTTTGTTTTAGCTCCTCAGCCAAAACACTATGCAAGGGCATATAACTATTAACTTAAGGTCTAACTTGCTCTAGCAAGTATTTTGTTTTTGCCTTTTCATAATACACAGGAGAACAGAAACTGTTAGAGGTGTTTCTTTACCAGCCACATCTGATTTTCATTTTCTTTGTTTTTTTCTAGAATACTAGACAAACAGTGGGATAAAAAAAAAATACCACAAGAGACTTCTGCATGAAGAACTAAAAAGAATGAGCAGATCAATCTTCCATCCTAAATTAAGTAGGCTTGAAAACAAACAACAAACTGGGAGATTCCTGAGAGAGAATTATTATTGTTTTTAAAGAATCTACATTGCTCCTGGTCCTGTCATTTGGATCTCAAAAAGGAAGCCTGTGATAAATTTGAAAAGGTTCAGCTACGTAAATTCTTGGATTGGAAATCATTTTTAACTATCTGTTAATTGCACCACAGGCCACACAAGACTTATTTCAGTGTTACTGAAATAAATTGTGCTACTGTGTTTTTCAAAATCCTCCTCTCATCTTTATGTCTCCAAAACTCCCTTTCTACTCTACTACTAATAAGGAAATTATTTTTTTCTTCCTTAAGTTACTCTTATCTCCAGCCAAAAGGAAATCCTGTGAGTTCTTTCTGCTTTCCTTCAGTGCACATTCTCTACCTCTGTGTTGGCTCCATAGAAATGACAACTCCAAGACCATTAGTTCCTATTAGCTGGGAATTACCTTCACCAACCTCTGGCTCTGTTCATCATTCCATGAAACATTATTTTCAAATACAAGAAAGCAAAAAAGGATTTTACCCAGGAAAGCAAGTCTTCCCCAATTTGGCCAATAACAGAAGTCTCGTTCCTTTTTCGGACCGCTTTCATCTGATCATTCAATGCAACTTTAAAAAAAAAAAAAGTAAATTTTATTAATACAGTTCAAATTGCTTGAATTTCAGCATTTATTTTAAAATAAAAGCTATTCTAGGAAAAGATTAGATTTTCAATAATTTTAGTTGAATTTAAAAACTGAAGTGTCCTGCAACACAGTGTATTAGCAGAACATCTCAGGAGATGCTATATAATGCCTTCACACTGCTGTCTCACCCATGAACCTTTCCAGTCTTATCTTTTCTGAGGCTCAGTATCACTACCCTTTTAAAACCACAGGAATAATTCAGCACACAGTTCAAGCCCCCTGCATAAAATTATACAAGTGATTATTCAGTGGCAGAGCTGAAATTCTGATCCTGAACAGTCCTTTCTCTAAACAATTAGGAAGGGCTGCCCTTCAGAACCCCCTGCAACACATCAATCCTTTTAGGTTTATTTTTCTTCTTCTCTTCAACAGCAGCTGTAACATTGTGAATGTTGACCAATAAAGACCATTCATCAAAGCATTGCTCCTTTTATCAAAGCATGAATCAGCAGAGTTAAGGAGAAGCAAGGATCCAAAACAGTGGACACAACATTCTTTATCAAAATATCTTTGTAAATCAGAAATGGAAAGCCTGTATGAAAGGAAGAACAGCCACAGTGTTCTTTTTCAACTCAAGTGTTCTACAAGGTTTCCTCTTGTTTCAGGGTCACTTGCTCAAATTTTTCAGATATTTGTAGCCAGAATTCCAGTTGAGACTTTCAGACCAAGCTGAATGGCACCTCAGCTGCTCTTACCATGAAGCCCAAGGATATCCTCAAGATTTGAGAAGATTTTCCGTTTGTCACTGGAGTTCAGGATCCCCTCCCGGGTGACGCGCTGGTAGAAGACGTTATGCAGAACCTTCAGCGTGCGGACGTGAGCTCTCTCGGTGTAAAACAACTCTGAAAAGAGAGGGTAAAGCAGGATTGTAATTCCCTACGTACAGAGGTGTGGCAACATGGGTCCCAACGTGAAGCAAATGGAAGTCAGAAGTATGAACTTATAACAGTCTCCCTCACCAACACTGCCCTAGCTGGCCCAAATGGCCATGCTCCATTATACTTCCATGTTTGAAAGAACAGAGAAGTCAACTGATTCACAACTCATAATTTACCCCAAAGGAACAGGGAGCTCTTAGCAGTTCATACAGCCACAGAGAGCGTTCAGCAGGACTGCAAGACCTGAAACTGAGATGAAGCTCTGAAGATGAAGTTTGGTAGTAGTGTTCCATTTGCATCATGTGCTTTCCAATGGTCTAGGCAGTGCTTTTTGCTTCCTTATATAGAACATGATACTGCAAACTGGCCTTTCAGTGTCAAACCACTTCAATATTGGTTATTTCTTCTCTAACGACTGGATCAGTCCCATCTCAGGACACTTTCAGTAACAAGTTTCACACACGCGAACTTGGCAAACCAGAAGTAATAGCTAGTAACTACTTTGAGCAGATCAATGAAGAAAGACCTAGTTTTAAAATTTAAGAACTTCAGAGCTCCAGAGGACTGGTTCCAACTTGGTGCTTGGTGAGCTAGGATAAGACATCCATCTCACCATTAATCACTTCTTGGCGCTTGATTTCATAGGCTGTCAGCCCCATCAACACTTCTCGGCTCACGAGTTGCTGCCAGTTGGGAGGGTCCATGTCCATGTCAAAATCATACAGCTCGTCTTCACTTTGCACATCTGCGAAACCAACACTGTCCATCCTAAAGGCATGAATGTTAGGAAGAAAGAAGAGAAAATCTAAGTATTTGTATCAGTTGTAAAGCATTATGAATACTCTCCGTAACAGCTGGAGGCTCTCAGATGTCTGAACCTGTTGGCACATTTTCTCATTTTGCCTTTTACAGAAGAACTAAGAGTGAGTATCTCTTCTTACAGTAACTCCCATAACCCTCCTTCTAACGAGACAGATAAAATAATTCGCATGAAGTCAAATATCAAGTCAGGGAAAGGGCAGGTTACAATTTTCTTCCTGTAGATGCAGAGCTAACAGCAATACACAGACCTGAAAGGAAAATGTGGCAAACTCCCTAACCCATCACCTCAAATCAGTAGATACAACAATCACTGTACTTCACTCAGAGATCAAAGGGCTTATCTGCATATGATTCACTCCACCTTCCTATATATGGTTGCCAGTGTCTCACTTCATATACACGTTATTTAAGAAAAGATCATGCAGACAATTATCCTGGCTCAGAACAATGAATGCTACCGCATTCTCCTTCATAACCCATTCAAATCTAAACAAATTCAGTGAAGTTCAAACATTTATAAGCATACTCACTTGCGAAAAGGCTTTGGTGTTCCCATGTCAACCATTCTGCAAAGAATGAAAGAAACTGTTAGGGAAGCTTACCCAAGAATTTCACCCCGCTCAGACATGGAGCCTCACTTCCCAGTAAAGGTCTCATCTCCCAGCTGGGACATTTTGTCCCTCTGTCAGCCTCACCCTCCTCATACATAGTTTTCTGGTTCTACCACAGAGGAAGACACAGACCAGCATTTCCCACTTCTATCAATAATGTTTAATACAAATGATGTCACTAATAATTTTATGGACCAAGCTTCAACGGCCACTGTCACATCGACTCTCAATCTAAGGCTCAAGTAACCAGGGCAGCAGTTACCTCTCTGATTCTCCTTCCTCCTCCTGCAAGTTTTCCAAAGGAGATGGGAATTCAAAGGTGTTATTAGGTGTGCGGGGTGTGCCATCCATACAGTCATTAGCAGGTGGAGCTTCTCCAGTCTGCTTCAAACCTAAACAGAGCAGAAGCAGGAAATGTCAAGAACTGTACCAAATTAGAGGACGTTAGAGAACTTCAGAGCCTCTTCAGAGCCTCTTGATTCACAGCCTCATTTCAGCTGAGAGCTGGAAGAACTCAGTTCCTAGGTTGGTAAGAAAAATCCTAGTGACAAGTGTTTCCAGATGACACCAACTTGTGCAGACACCTGAGACTGGTTTTTTTCCTGCTGGACGATCCAATGCCACAGTGACAGAACCCAGCTAACAACTACTTCTGGCCACGATAAGATTTCCTAATTTGAACCAGAGATTACGTCAGAAAAGATGACTAAGGCAAAGAAGATGATGTTAATGACATCAAAACATTTCCTAATTTGTCCAGTTTGTTGCATCAGAACCGTGCTTTGCATATATCACTCGTAACACAACCTTTAACCATTCCTCTTTGCCTACCTGTTTCGCTGTCTTTGCTTCCCTCTGGAGAGGAAAAGGGACCCATTGCCAAAGGAGACATTGGGTTGGCAGGAGGGTATGGTGCCTCTGTTCCATCACTGGAGGACCCGCTCTGGCGCAGCTTGCTAGAATCTGGTGGCTCTGGGCTAACAGAAGATGCTGTAGGTAAGTGCTTTGGATGGCGGGGCTTCTGCATTTCCATGGCTCTGCCAACTAAACACACACAGCGTCGTTACATTGTTGAAAGAGCTTTTACCCATTTTCAGCAAAGAAGAGAGGAAGCCTTTCAGGACAAAATTAAGCATGTGCGTCTTCAAAAACACGTTTCAAAACCAAAAAGTTTACTGAGTCTTCTCAGCATGTTTTTTTTTTAAAGACAGCAGAGACTTTATCTGGCTTTCAGACTAATAGTTAGGGAACATATATTTCCTTGTCTGACATACTTGCACTGCTGTCATGTCGACTCGGTCTCCTTGGTGGGCCAAGAATATTAGGAAAGCCTCTTCTCTTTCCTTTCTCCTCTCCTTCTTTCTCTTTCTTGATACTTTGCTGCAGTTAATATACGACAAAGAAAAACAAAGCAAACGTCACTCATTTCTTCAAATCCAGTGATTTCCTGAGATATTGACTAATTCTTTAAAACTGCAGGAGTCGTTACAAGAGAATTTTATTTTTAGCAAGTTATGAGAGGTCAAGATCCTGCAGCTTCAGAGGCAAAGACAGCCTATGGACAGAGTATGAGCAGTGCATAACGAGGTTAGCAGTGAGAGCCACAGCATCTTCAGGGACACTTCTGGTATGAGCAAAAACTCACACACACTGTTTTTAACTTAGCAGGAGCAAGAAACCACCCCTTCTCTAGGGTAAGAGACCAATTTAGAGTGACCAGAAGCACCTTGGTTCTCTAAGACAGGACACCTTGTGACTCCAAACCTCCACAAGCATAAAGAATCTAATCTGGGAAAGAGAAATACAACTTCTCTTACTGCTTCAGAAGGGTTGTGAATGCCTGATCTAACCTATTCTCACTGTCAGTGCAGAACTGCTTCCAGGAGTCTTAACATTTGAAAGGAAGCTGGGATGCTGGTGGAAATATGTAGCTACTGTGACCAGAGACACCCCCATACTGTGGGAGACGACTGAACACACCCACAGAGATGGGAGTTTTGGTGGAAAAATTCATTATATAACTGGGGAAGTGTGGGTGGCAGGAAGAGTAGCTTTCCTGCATCATGAAATATGAGGTTTTGGGCAAGTTTCTCAAGTAGAAAACTAAAGTATACAAGCCAACAGCCTGATTAGCTTTAATGAGATCCTCAAGTGATTCAAGGTTTCTCATCCAAAGTTTTAATAAGGGTAGAAAACAAGCAGCTAGGATTCAGGCATACAGATAAAGAAGACAACTCATTTCTAATTCATGGGCCTGAAAATACACGTAGAACCCAATTTCAGCTGTTAGGTTTGTGCAGCTCAGTAATCCCCATCCTCTTGATGCAGCAATGAAGACTGTAAAGTCATACCAACCTCTAACACGTCACGCAAAGGTGCATTTTGAATCCTAACGAAGCACCCATGCTGGGTACCTTCAAAAAAAAAAAAAAAAATGCAATCTGGCCACAACATCACTACCTTGATCTTTGGCAGGAAACCAATGCGGCCCCGCTTCTGCTCCAGGTTTCGAGGTTCCTTAACTTTGACTCCCAGGTGTTTCATGTAAGTAAGAATCACATACTGCATCGTGGAACTGCCAAAAATATAAAAAAAAAAAAAAAAGAAGATGGGGGATAAGGAGCAATGTATTGGGGAAAATACATTTTGTCAAGAAAATTACAAAGGTCACATGCAAAGACTCTACTGAGAAATTAATACATTTTTAGATTAAAAGAACTCGGTATCTTTTTTTTTTTCTTTTTAATATGAAACAAACTATCACAGACAATGGGAAAGACTCAGCCAATATCAGAATTTGTCCTCTTGCAAACAAAAGATGGAGTATATAAAAGCGTAAAAGAGGTAAAAGTTTGAGAATTACACAGAAGGTTCCTAAAATGATATGCTAAATATATATTTGTGGTCACATTATAGTTTTGAGTTATGGTAAAAATAAGTAACAGCAAAAGGGATGGTTGCTATAAAGAGTATAGTAAAAGCTGCCCTTGTTGAGTTTTGTATACATACAAACTTAACAAGGCAAGTCACATCCAGAAAACAAATGTTAAACCAGATTGAAACAGCTGCAAAATGAAACTAAAAGAAACATGAACTCTTAACGACAGTAACTTTTGGAGATCTAAAACAAAATTTCAGATTAAGAAGAGGTTGAGAGCAACAGGTTGATGCTCTGAATTCAAATGAATTCTGCCAGGGGGCTCAGAGAATGAGAGTGAGTGGCTCCAGCCAGCAGAGGGCTGCCGTGCTGTGCTCAGCACAACAAGCACCACAACAGGGTTCTTCACACAGTAAACCCACCCAACTTCCATTACCTCTTGTCTTCTTCCAGAGGCTGAGATGTCATCCTAAAAACAAGAAAGAGTTTAAAAATGAAACTGACTTAGAAGGAAGTCCAGGGGTGGGGGCTGGGGAGAAGCTATAGGTTTCTACAACCCAAAAAAAGGACTCTTGAGCTAATACTGCACAAGCTGACATTGGAATAATTTCCTCTGCTATTGGAACAGTAGCCTCCTTGAAAAGATATATGGACTTTACCTATCAGCTTAATTTTAGCTATTGGTACTCAAACATATGTTGATAGCAAAGAGGGGAAAGCAATGTAAATGTAGTGATGTCAAATTGCATCTAGTTCCCAAATCCTTTGCTCTCCTGCTGTAAGATTCAGGGTAGAACCTTTTTTACCCCCACAATTATTTTTGCTGTTACTCACAAGACTTCCTCGATTTTAGCAATAATCTGTTCTGCACATGCTCTTTCCTTCTCCACCGCATTCCGGTCACGAACCCTTTCTGCATCCAGCCTGGTCAGCTCTCCTTCTGCCAGGGTCAACCCCATGCTACGTTTCTGCCTGAAAAACAAGGAGATGGAAGCAGGGCTTTAAATTGAACACTGACCTGCAACAAGGGAAAAGCAACCTCTCGACGTTCAGAATGTCAAACAGGTTTCATTATTGGTTTCTGTATGAAAATGGAGAAGTCATGACATTTCTCCATAACATTTTCACTCACTGTAAAACACAGCTAAGATGGCCTCTGGAGGGATAAAGTTGTATTATATTTATCAAGAGGCAGCCATTGCAGGGGTCAAGAGAAAGCAGTTACTCTTCTTGCAGCATCCCAGGCTGCAAAATCAGACATTTTTAGGTATGAAAAAGTCCACTATTGAACACTTGTCTTGGTATAATGTCTCATGTTGGCACAAAGCTCTTATGGCTCTACATGAAAGGGCATATTAATTATAAAATTCTATTGTGTGCCCATGACAGCTTTCCAAAGTGGATTATTTGGTGCCCAAAGGGGAGAGGAAAGGAAAAAAGGAGAAGGAAAAAAAAATATAAGAACATATAAGCTGATTATAAACACAATTAGTAAGAAGGATTTATAGAACATCACCTAAGTAAAAATATTATGAAACGGCCTCAAGTAGCTTCAAGGAATGAAGAATTCAAGCTCTAAAATTGATCTTGCAATTGATTACTTGCAACACAGTCTCAAAAAAACATTCAAGGCTCTCTCCAGTGGTATCTTCCTATTAGTCCAAGATGAATTACTATATGCCTTGAGTTTGGACTTTCCCTGTATTGGACACGTTGATTGAGGTCAGGTATGAATTAAATGAAAACTATACAGCCAACTGTTGTTACCTGAAATCTTCCAGATTCCTTTGAACTTCTGGACAGACTTTATCTTGCATAGTTTGTATAAGCTGGCGATGAAGCTCTTCAGGAATGAGTTCTGGCCGCCTTCTTTCTGTAAGCCAGAAGAGAAGTTAACAGATTATTCTTTTGAGAACAGTCCTTTCCTCCTTAGAATAAAGCCACTCACACATATACTTTATCCCATCCAAGAGTACCATTTTGCCTTTCACTTGCTGATACACTTAATGCCCTGAAGTTCATGGTAAGTAGCTGTGGTCACATCCACTGTCGTATTAAAAAAATTAAAAATTCCAATGTGGCCAATGCTTCCCACCACTTACACATGTATCAGAGCACACATTATGCCCTCCCCAAGAAATGTAAGAAGTATTTCTTTGTCTCTCCCTGTAACACATGACACAGTAAATTTGAAGGAACCCCAAGCACATTTCAGAGACTTGCTCAGACAGTAGAAAACTGCAGCAAGACATACACGAAAGAGAAGCACCCTACCTAGTTCTAAGGAGATTTCATCCGGAACTGGAACTTTTAGATTCTACAAAAGAAAAGAAAAGGCTGGGAGAACATACACAACAAACACCACCCCAATAAAATACACAGTACAAACCACAAGAGAATCTCCTCAAAAGCCAAAATCATACAACCCGAATACCTGGTGGTATTAAGGTGGAGACTCCCATTCTGAATATATATTATATTACACATGGATTATTTCATCTTAACATGTGGTAGTAGCCTCTGCTATACTATCTAGTAGTCCCATTCATGACAATAAAGAAGTTTCTCAGGCTTTTCAAGGGATACATAAAATCTCCCAATCCTTGCAATAGCCACATCAATACATGCAGCAATTATTAACTAAAAGGCAATGTATAACAGTTAGAGCTTGCTTAAATATCACAAAATTATTTCTCCTATCAGAAAACGTGTTGCCTGTGATTTATTGAGTTACCAGGCATCTGAGGCCATACACCATTCATTTCACTGTATTCACTGGTAACATTTAAATAAAAAAAAAAAACAACAAACTTTTCATTTTGGAGGACTTCTGTAACTCCTTAGTTTTCTCCAGTTCAGGAGAGTGGAGAAAGGTAAAAGTCAACTTGCTAGCTATGCTTGAAAATGGGAGAAATGAGTGGAACCTACTGCAGCTCGGTCCAAGAAGAACTGGTAAAACTCCAGGAAGACACGGCGAGTCTCTTTGGAGTTGGTCTGTTTGTACAAGTCTGTGTAAAGGTAGCACAACTGTGGGAAACAGGAGGGGAAGAAATTGAGGAAAACCGTAAGAATTCTTCTAACATCCCTGAGTCCACGTTTTCTTTCAAGTATTTAAAGGAATTCAGCATTACTGGGTTGAAACTCTTTCTAGCTACCTTCAGCCATCTAGATTGCTTAGATGGTGGGGAGAGAGAGATCAGACCTTCCCCATAGACAACTTAGGCTGGAATGAAGTGCCTTCAAGGGCTAAATATTTATTTGTAAACAGCTAAATGTAAAGGAGACAGCTATTTTCGTGCTTCTCTTCATTACTCTGAAATATTCTCATGCCTGCACAGGACCTGCAGTTCTCCCCTTGCCAATCCAGCCATGTCACTGCCAATGCTACACAAGGTTAAGGCTACCAGTTTGGGCCAGGTAAACAATACCAGAACATCTTACCAATGCTGCAGGGTCAAACTGGGACACCACATGATGCAGAAGAACAGCCAGGTGAGCTGGGCGAGATTTCAGGAGCTCAATGTTTTGGAAACAGCTGCATTGTCCATTAATCTGCAGAGATACATGCAAACTATTTGAATTTTTCAACAAAGCTACTGGGAGAAAAACCAAGAAGGTTTGTTCCAACAATTCAACTCATTTGTTTAATTAAAATAAAACCTGATCAATTCCAGAACCTCTTCAATGCCACTCTAACATCCCACAAAGAGCTTACAATAGGAACACTTCTTTTAAATACTCTTCTGAACACTGAGTACAATATAACGAAATATAATTCAGAGCAAAGGACAGCTAAAATAACTCGGAATAAGTATGTCAAAAGCCATTGCAGCTATATTGCTGTGACAATAATGCAGAACTTAAGCAAAAGAAAATTAAATAAGGCAAATGCATTTCTAGAATGGAGTTATGAGCAGAAAGAGAGAGTAACAGAAAGAATCAAAGATGGTATATTGTAAAAAAAAAACAACAAATGTTTTTATTTGGCAAGATCAGCCATAACAGGATTCACATTCTCCAATTCTTAATTCACCACAAGAACTGCTCAATAAAAACAAGTCACGAAGCACCCATAGACACACAGAGGTACAGAATTTTGATTGAGAGGGCAAAAAGGTGGCTGAGGCTAAAAGTCCTTCCCACCTGCTCCTGTTCAGTGTCAAAGTCGTCATCCTCTGCTCCGATGATCTGAGGCCCCACTCGGGATAAAGGACTTCCAACACTGGACTGGGAATCCTGGGGGGAGTCAGAAGTGAGGGATGAGAAGGGGAAGGAAGGGAAAGAAGAAATGTATAGTGTTATTACTCTCTTGCCACAGGAAACCTGCTTTACCAAGTTAGAGATGTTACTATCAATTTTAGTTTCCTTCTCATAACTCATGTAAACTCATGTTTTTACTCATCCTCGCCCAAATATGCAGCTGTGAGATCCGCTTACAAATGCTTCTCCCAAGTTGCAAACACTCAGAAACATTAAATCAGATGATTCAAATTCAAATCTACAAACAAGAGCACATGTGGCATATCACAAATGCCATCTTTGTACAACTGGAGAAGTACAACTTTGGAAACTCAAGCAGATGAGGGGATAATAATTCAGAACTCATCCCAAGGAAGACACTAAAACGTTCAGAAAGGTCTGTACTTTCAGCAAAAGGTTCCACTTTTACCTACTCTGGAGGTGACCCCTGAGAATGCCAGCCTCCTAATGACTAAATATCCTAAAGACTGTTTCATTTACTGCTGGACTCAAGGAATAAAATACGTACAGCTGCTCTACCTATTTTAGGTCCAGCTGTTTTACTGCTGTGTACATATTTCTCGCCTCTAAATGGGTCTACTGTTAAGCTCCATAAACATTTACTCAGCTAATTAACTTTCCCTGCACAATTTTAATTGCATTTTATTTTCTAAAGCAAAGTTTATGCATGCTTCATCTAGAAAGCAGGGGGAAACAAGGTTTTAATGGGCCCATTACAGGAGATGCTGTTGTGACACTTTATGCCCTGTACTCACAGTATCTTGAACCTCAGCCTTCTCTGGGCTCTCCTCCGGATAAATCCGCTCCTTCAAGCCACTGCGAGGACTCTGGGAAAGAAGGAAGTTCAGTTCTGGTGAGCACCAGCAAATCTAGAAACACGAGAACTGCACAGGAGGTTTTTTGCAGCCACAAGAGCCAAAACTTCTCCTTTCTCACAGAGCGAACTGTTAAACAGCTGAGGTGTGACCAGCCAAACTAAAACGTGTGACCCACACACGCACAGATTTAAAAAAACCCAAAATCAACAAACCCCACCCAAAACCCAACCGAATGCAGAAACAGTTTCGCTGAGAAAGCTAGTGATACTGAGTAACAGCAGAGCTGTAAATCTGCTGGTGCACCTGGCCTTAGCTTTCTCTTTGCTCTCTCCACCTCTTCTGGAGGTTCATGGAGCACCCATGTTGCTAGCTCTCTGAGGAGGCCCTTCTCCTAACATAGAATCATAGAATGGTTTGGGTTGGAAGGGACCTCAAAGATCATCGAGTTCCAACCCCCCTGCCCTGGGCAGGGACACCTCCCACTAGAGCAGGTTGCTCAAGGCCACATCCAGCCTGGCCTTGAACCCCTCCAGGGATGGGGCATCCACAACTTCCCTGGGCAACCTGTTCCAGTGTCTCACCACCCTCAGAGTAAAACATTTCTTCCTGAGATCTAATCTGAATCTTTTTTCTTCCAATTTAAAACCGTTTCCCCTTGTCCTATCATTACACCTCCTGGCAAAGAGTCCCTCCCCAGCTCTTCTACAGGCACCCTTCAGGTATTGAAAGGCCGCTATAAGGTCTCCCCGGAGCCTTCTCTTCTCCAGGCTGAACAATCCCAGCTCCCTCAGCCTGTCTTCATAGGAGAGGTGCTCCATCCCTCTGATCATCTTCGTGGCCCTCCGCTGGACCTGTTCCAGCCAGTCCATGTCCCTTCTGTGTTGAGGACTCCAAAGCTGGACACAGTATTCCAGGTGGGGTCTCACGAGTGCAGAGTAGAGGAGCAGAATCACCTCCCGAGATCTGCTGGGGCTCCAAGCAATGGGCTCAGTACTCCAGGTGCAGTCACACCAGTGCGCAGCAAGAGGGACCAGTAACTTCCCTCCACCTGCTGGCAATCCTCCTCCTCACGTAGCCCAGTAGACACTCAGCTTTATTTGCCAAAAGCACATGCTGTTGGCTCATCTTCAGCGTGTTCACAGTAACACCCAGGTCCTTTCAGCCACGCTACTACTCAGCCTCTTGGTTTCCAGGCTGTATTGATGCTTAGAGTTATTTCATCCAGCTGCAGAACTCTGGACTTCTTCTTAAACTTCAAGAGGTTTCTATTGCCCCCAGTCCTTAAGCTCCTCAGGGTCACTTTGAATGTTTGGTGTGTCGATCACCTCCAGTGATCAACTACCATCCACGATATTAACAGGATTAAATTTATGAAGAAGAGAGCTATGAATTTTGTGCTGCCTTTATTCCATACCAACATGAGTGATATCCAGTTAGATTTGGAGTTGGGGGAGGAATGTTTCAAAATAGTCATGTATGGTCACATTGCGGAGGTGTATCTGACCCGTCTTCCTTTCATTTCCTACTGCTAGTACAAATTTATCTTCTACATCCTTAAGTTAAACAACAGACTTAGGCCAAAACCCAAGTACAGAGTCTCAGTTCCTCCGCACTAATCAGATAGTGACTTAATTAAGGATTAGGTGCTAAGGCACTCCAATAGGGAGACCAGACGAGCACACAGATTGATAACTAATGAGTGAACAGACGAAGAGCCTTTACTGTTGGCAATAATTGATGCTTATTTGGTAGAAGTAAGGCTCTTCCCCACTTCCATGGCAACTTGCCCACTGACTGGATCTGAGTCACAGCTACCGCAATTGGAACATTACCATACTCTTAAAAGATTCTCTAATTGGCATCTCTGAGTTGGGAGAAAGATGCTGGCATCCATCTTTCTTTGTCTGGTTACAGGAATTGTGCCAGGAAAATCTAATCCTGGATCAAGACTCAAAACCCCACACTGTTTCTTTCCCAGTCCCTAATGGAAGTCCAATATAGTATGATTCCTCGGGGAATTATTTTTGGGGTGTACTGAGAAGCCTATTCTAGTAATACACAGCATTCCTGAGGTACAAGTATGTACGTGTGATACACAGGACAACACAAAGAATCTGCACAAGAAAACCAAATCCAAAAGGTATAGAAGCAAAGTCAGGGAGCTGTTCTGAGACTCACATCAGCAATGTCACTGCTTGGTCGGGAGGGGCTGTCACCACTGTAATCCAGTTTGCTCACACCATCCCCGCTCTCTGCCTCCACTTCACTGAACTGCAGCGATTCCGCCGCAGACCTGGAGGACAAGACTCCATCCTGAAAAGATAAAGCCAGTTGGGAGACTGCACAGAGCAAGAAGAGTATTTCAAGAGGCAATCCTTAAACATTAGCTGTTTCAAAACCCAATTAGTTCATACTATGTATAAAACTTTCTTCAGGTATCTAGAAAAGGCTGCAATGCTTTTCAAAGAGAAGACAACCGAAAATAACACCAAGTTTTCAGGACTTATAACATTAGAGGCAGAGGGAATATGGGAAAAATATATCACTTGTGATTTTTTTTTCAAAAGCAAAGCTATTTTAAGCTTCCAGTTACTCATTCTCCACTCTAAGAATGACCCCACAGGCTTCTTTTAAGTTGTATTGACAGACAGACAGACTAATAAACACAACACAGTTTGCACTGACTGTTTTAAGGGCAGTTTTTGACAGATGATTTGAAAGTCCATTGTGAAGTCTAGTTCATATATCAACATCTCACTGTGTTGCTTGACAGCCTCTGTGAGCCTCAGTACAAGTCTCAACTCTAGAGGGTGCAATCTGCCTGTACAAGCACAGAAGAGCACGGCAGGGCACTCCTGCTTGCCCAGAACACCATCATCCCCCAGGAATTTTCCCCCGGAACACATCCCAGAGGAGCCTGACACATTCTGTTACCTGAGTAGAGCCTGTGGCTTTGGACAACCTCTCCTGCAGCTGAGGAATGTGCTTCTTTGTTTCCTGTATCTCTTTGAGCAGTCGCGTGGTGGGTGATCGGCTGTACTCTTCTTGCAGAGACTGAAAAATCATTTTAGGAGTTTTCACTCAGCATCTCCTCAATGTCAAAGCTTAGAACTACAGCCTACTACTGTCCTTCATTCCATTTAGATATTTTAAATAACAAACATCACATTTGCACATCTACCGAGTACATACTACAGATTCCATAGTTCTAGAATTCTCTCTCTCTTAGGCCATATGAAAATAACCACATTCTAGAGATTTATTGAAATCTCTCAATGAAAGGTGCTTACTTGCCTAAGGATTAGATCAGATTGAGAGATATGTACCTTTCCACTTAAGAAACCTCCCACAATTTTTTTCTTACTCTGTCAAGGATTAAAAACTCAAGAGTGAGTAGATCTCTGGTGTTAGGTGGGTATATAGAAAAGCTAAGCTGAAACACAAGCTATGCAAGGGAACCTTGAAGATCCCACTAAGTAGTGATTCAACAACCAATCTTTGTGTTTGTATCATACTTTTCCCCACCCCTCTCAAACTCATGCAAGTCCAGTACCTGCAGCTGCTCCTGCTCTTTCTGTAGCATCTTTCTCAGAATCTCCACCTTCTGGTTGTGGACAATATTATTCTCCTCCTAGAAAATACGAAGAAATTAAGGGTCAAGTTTTTTGGTGGAGCTGGGAAGAAAGATAAAGAAAATGGACATGCCTACTTCTCATCTACTTCCTAAACTTGGCCTTTGAAAAGCCCTCAAAGAAGCAATTCAAGTTTCTAAATCCTATTCCTATGGATTCTTTCCCACTTTTGAACACAGCTATCAAGAGTTAAAAAGAAAATAATAAAATAGACCAGAAGCATTTGCTTATTTGATTTCCCTACTCTTTTTTGCCACATGTCTGCATACCTTGTAATCCACCCTTTAACAGAAGTTACAGCATGACTGACTTGGACCAGACACTGTATAAACTCACAGAATGCAAACTGCAGTGTATCTCAAAGACAACCTGTGAATAAACCCATCAACTGTCTTTGTATTAGCTCAGATGGGACTGCATATTTTTACTTGCAAAATGTTTTTCCCCATGTGATTCCATGCCCATGGGGAGCTGGGTAAATATTCCAATTTGTCATTTGCACAAGAAACACAAAACGGTGGAAGAAAAAAAAAAAATACATGGCTACGTTCATGTCTAAGCTGGTTCTTTGGAAAGAGAGCTTTAAATCTTACCCCCACAAGCACGGGGCTAGTGATCCTTTCTGCATTTCCTGACATGCCAGGTGAATGAGGAGATGTCATGATGGGAGACATATGCCCAAACGCTGCCAGATCCACTTCAGAATCAGCTAGTGGGATCTGGGGCGACCCCGGTGGGCGCCCCTGGACAGTGAGAGCTACATAGGAACCCGCTGCAGGGGGAAGAACAACAACAATTCACATTTCAGACACTTGCAGATTTCTGTGGTTGCTGTTTCACTGGTTGCCATTTCCCCCTAGATCTAAAATTCAGACCATTCTTCACTCATTTGTTCTTCAAACCAGAAAACCTGAGAGCACTGTGTCAGCTCTGTTTTAGAGAACTCAGTTTAAATTTCAGGTGATCCAAACAGTTTCATAATAATCATCCATAATAAAAGCACGAATCCAATTTCTAGTCTATCAGGTTACATTAGCAGGTTGCATTTACAGTATATAGATATATGCTCATGCCATGAAATAAACTGTGCTAAGGTGGAAGGAACCACTATCACCTTCTTCCAAAAATGCACTTCTGTTAGAAATGCCAGTGCTTTGCAAGCATCATACAGTAATCTACATTAATAGTGCCTTAATAGCTATGATATTTAAGGTGGAATTGAAAGATGGGGTAGAAAGATCTGTAGAAAGGTTTGATGGTAACTTTGAACATCAAGCTAAGGCAAAACTGCAGAAGCTCAAATCTGAGACAACAAAATGAACCCAATTTCACTTCCCTGTTTCATACACACCCTTTCTCTCTCAGCATGGTTAAGACCTTGTCACTTGATAGCTGAATCAATCATCGGTCCTTTAAAATTATGCCTTTCATGCTTTAAAGGAGCACAGTGACAAAAATAGTAACCTGCCTTTACTTACACTTGATCAGCTTTACCACCTCCAAATGGTTTGAGTGTGTTACAAGGGTGCCATTCACCTGGGGCAGGGAGGAAGAGAAAGTTAACAACATTTAGCTGCTCATTTCCAACCCAAGGTACCCACACACTTAGAATGAAGATATTTTCTTTTTCCCCAGTCTCTATTACTATGTCTTTTAAGACACTGACAGATAAACAATTTATCCTTTTAACAGTCTACCTCTGCGAGCAGAGCTCTGCAAGAAGAAAACAATACACACATAACAAAGAAAACCAAGCAACCAAAGAAAAAAAAACCAAAGCAATCCACCCCTGAATGGGTAGGAAAAAAAAATTAGGATAGCTAACTTAATTAATTAAAGTTGAAATCTGAGCTCTATCTGTGTCAGTAGCTGCTGTAGAGCACAACCATCAGTTTGCAGCAGTATTTTAGATAAGTCTTTTTAGTTACTGGCTTGATTTCTTAGTTGTTTGGCACCAAAATAGAGCATGGATCTGGGTGCACTTGGGGGAAAAACAGTATTCCAAGAAGACTATTTATTTACAGGTGATTATTAATAACTCTCTGGTCTTTCTCTCCCCTGCCACTTATGGTTTTATTGTACGTGTGATTCTTGAACCTTGTAGAATGTTGAACTTGCCCATAAAGTTCTGAAATGAGAGTGACCTCCACAACAAAACTAACACTCAGAGGTGAGCTTTCAGTGGTTACTGTCCTGGTATCCCCAGAACACAGGAACTTAGACCATTCCTCTATCCCACAGGCAAATGCAAACATCACAGCAGACATACTGATGACATTTTTCAGGGAAAGAGTTCCTTTAATACAAAGAATCAATTTCTCTGATGATTTGAATGCCCTTACCTTGATAATTCTATCACCTGTTTGCACTCCAGCCCGCATGGCTGCTCCATCTAAAGAAGCAAGAAATGATTTTGTTCCAATTTCAAAAACAAAAATCAAAGCAAAAAGAGTTCAAGCACTTCTCTAAGTTCCACACAAAGCTACTTCCCACACTCAGCTGAGCTTCCCCTGTCTCTATCAGGTTAGAATCTTTCAGTATCTACACAAGGGCAGTTCTGTTCTCATTTTACAGTGGATACATCAAGCCACAATCCCACCACGTTTCAAGGAGTCATTTACTTCCTCTTTGATGCAAGAGGTCAAGTTTCCAAATAAATCACACGCTGAGGAGACGCTTCACATCATCCCAACAGCACAAGGCTTTTTGTCTTTGCACACCCATCCCGAAGCTGCAGCCATCCCACCCGTGCAGGTTTTTGGAGTTTTCTCCTCCAGCTCATGCAGAGGTTTCTTTGATACACGTGGAAACCATCTCTGCTGCTCCCCGGGCAGCACGTTTAGCAAGGCTGCTTACCTTCTTTGACGGACTGCACGAAGACTGGGTTGTCTCCGCTGACTGTCAGCCCAAATCCGTTCTCATCCCGTTGGATGACAACGCACCGTTGAACAAGACCTGCAGAAGAAAGGTGGGGAAAGGGCAGAAGAAAGAGGAGGAGAGAAATACAAAGAGACACAAGCTAGGCATCAGTCCAAAGCCTTATCCTCCTAGATAATCACAGAGTACTGAAAGAAACTGGTACAATACAACAGAGGGGGAAATATATGAGAGACAGAAACAGGGCATCAGTCCAGAAACAGATAGGAATGTCAAGACAGGTCAAGCTTATTGCTTCAGTTACACAAAACAGAGATAAACAACAGCAGAGATGCAGACAGCTCTGGCACATCAGACACAACTTGAGGTAAAAGCAGCTTTTAAAGAAGAGCAGCTACCTACAGGAACCAATGAGTACAACTTCCCTTTGTCTGTCCTAATAGCTCTTCAAAGTGCTGTCATGTCCCAATACACCATCAAACACCATCCAACTTTTACAAGCTACTCTAAAAAAGAAGTCACAAATCTCTCCGACTGACATCAGAGGGTTGGACTAAAACAGATTTATCGATGAGGTAAAGTTCTCCCCATTCTCAGCAAAAATCTCATTTTGGGGGCACCTTCTGCTCCAGGTCAGAACCACACAGAACCAGAAAAGCAGCAATAAAGAAAGAGAAGCCACACTTACTACACTGAACAAGACTTCTCAAATCAAGACCATGCTTCCCACTGAGTTACTGAAGCTCAGGGGCAAAATCCCAGGAGATCTGAGAGGGAATCTGCTCCTCCTTTAACTTGCTGTGTAACATCAAAGGCAAATTATTTTGTTTCCCTGTGTTAGGATTACTGGGTATAATGTGAACATAAATACTGCTGCAGAGGTGAAATGTTGTGTTTGCCTATTTTTCACCTGGAAACAAAATAAGGGAAAAACAAACCAAAGCAAAGCAACAGTCCTGGCATATTCATTGCTGAGCACTCTCCTAGGAGCATCTGCACAACGCCTGCCACAATGGAGCCTTTAGCTTGAAAAGTGACTTTAGGAACCTGCATGAATGTACTTTTATTTACACAGCACAAATTACCCACTACTAAACATCACCCTTATTTCTAACAGCTGGTTTTGCTTCTTCATTTCTAAAGCTGTATCAGGCAAAACTCTTACACCAGCATCTTGAGAAAGAATTGGGAGTTCTCCACAATCAGGTACCAAAATCGTAGCAGTTTTGTTTAGGATGGAAGGGGCAAAGGGAATTGTGAAGGTGCTGCCCCAGCAAACTGTCTTTTCTGGAATCATTTTTAAGGAATTCATGGAAACAAAGCGTGGAGTCATACCCATGGCTTAAATTCCTCTCGCAGCACCGCAGCTCCTTTCACTTCTCTGGAGCTACTCCTCATGGAAATGAGGTGCCTCAAGTGAAAATACTGTCTGCCCAGTCAGCCCTGTTCTCCTCCAGTGTGGCATATATGGAAAATGGGTGTGGGAGTAGTGGAAAAGGTTGCATTCCAGCACTTCTGCAGCAGCCTGGTCACGGTCTCACATCCCAGCAACTCCTCTGCTGCCCATGAAGTAGAAGCAAATTTTGCTATACATAGTGATCTGCAGTGAGGTGATGGATGGGATGGGGAATGGATGGGAGGTGAAAGCAGACAAGAGGGGAAAAAACCCACCATCTTTTACACCCTCTTTATATGGTTAAGTGAAAGAACATGCCTCTCCCTTCTGCACCTCCCCTTTTTCTATACAACCTGGCTTCTTGAAGTCTCACTTCACAAGAATGATGCCCCAGGGTGGGGTGTGGGAAAGAGAACATATGCTATTTCATAAAAACAGCTCATTTTAAACCCTGCTGCCAGACGTACAGGTTTTATGAGTAAAACACTAACTAATCTTTTGACTCACAAGAACTGTCCTTGTTTAAAGGCACAGTATAGCTCTGTGTACTCGAGGCTCTTCCACCTAATTTCTTTCTTTTCCAGAACCAAGAACCCTTGGATCTACTCTCCTCCTTGAATGAACCTGATGCCAAAGCAGAGGCAATGCAGTAGGAGATGTAATAGAAACTGACTTACAGAGGATAATTTAAGTTCAAAGAATAATCGAGTTAAACTGTTTCACATTTTCACCCAAGACCACCTTTTAATTTTAGAATGGGGAGGCAACTGAAATTAGGACAACTCGAACCCAAATTAGTCCATAATTGCTTTTTCCCTGTATATGTTCTTTTAGACAAGAAGCAGGGACTTACCCCTTCTCCTAACACAATATAAAAGGCTGGAAGGAGGTCTAGGGAGGCCAGCTGAGAGATCCTGTGCTTGAGAGCGATGCACAGCAGCTTTACAGTCATTTTAATGAAGTTATCTGAAAGTTTTCTGCAGGTTACACTATTACCTGCAGAACTGTATCAGCTTTGATAGCACTCCCTGTTTGAACCAGGTAGACTAAGAAGAGCAACTTTAAGTGCTCTCTTTTGCTCTTCTGTGAGGAAAATTTAGCAAAGAAACTCACCAGATCTGTCATTTGCTCACTTTTGTTCTTTAAGTAACATACATTCGATTTGAAATCTGCTTAGTGGTGGAATTTCAAAACCAGAGCAGTGATGTTTTCATAACCCACATCTTGTACCTTGAACACCTCATTAGGCACTCTGGAATGGACTGAAAGGAAAGCCACAAACCACTGAGAGCCCAGTGACATGCAACTAGAAGATTTCAATAGCTGTTACTGTCACAAGTATATCACAAGTACATACAGGAACTCTTACATTAAATTACTAACTAAACCAACTTCACCCACTTTAATTAACTTCTATGAGTTTGGGGCAACACTGAAAAGTCCATGTCAGCAAGTGGCAATCAGCCTCTCAGTCACCTTTTTTGCTTTTGTGTTCCAATTCTTAGCATTCCCTGGATAGAAATCACGAGTCATTCATTTTGAAATATCTTGCCAAGATATTTTACTTTTTCCAGCTGATGCTTAGTAAAGATTACAAGGTCAACAGAACCCATCACTGATAGCACTCAAAATCGAATCAATGGCAATCTTATTCCCACATACACTTTCAAATGACAGTATCTTGATGGCATGAAATGAGGAGACATCACTGTATCTATGCTTTAAGTACACAGAATCAGACTGTTCATATCTTGAGAGGATTAATAGAATTCTGTGGAGAAAAACAAAATAAATCTTAAAAATCCTTTTTCACCCTCCTGCATATTATAATTCCCTGAACTCACTGGTATAACTGCAAGCCACAAGTAGCTAACCCTGTGCTGCAGTCAAAGAGGTTTAAGATTAAAACGAAAGCAGTTAGAAATGACCAGCCTCAGAAAAAAGGAATTGCAAGAAAAGACAAGCTGCTCCTCAATAGATGGCACTATTCCCTCTGCGACACCAGCACTCAGCTCCCTCTCCACTGTGCTTTTTGGACAACAGGGCAGGGGAAAGTCCGAACTTCTCAAGGTCATGGACACACCACAGTAAAAATGATTGTCTCATACAGGCTGCCCAGATACATTTGAACTGTCTAAGAGTTTCTCTAGTAAAGAGATCACTTACCACCTTCTCTTCTACACATCCTAAATATCTGTTAGTTGTTGAATAAAAAAGGAAATTTCATTTCCCCAGCAGGGCACAACAGATAGAGCAGGGTTCATTCTCCAAACCTGACTCACCAGAGAGAAGGTGCCATGAATTACATCTCCCATAATACAATGTAGCTTTTCCTCTAATGAAACTCAGTGGGACATGGCATGGGAGGAGACTTGTGAACTATAACCTCCCTGGAGGCATGAGGCCACAATGGGAAAATGAAATTTAATATAGTGATTCCAAATGAATCAGTCTATAAACAAAAACAAACTCCTTGGGGTTTTGAGAACATCCAAATGTTTCACTTCATTTGGGAAGCTTTATTTTTCAGAAACGCTGCTCCACAAAATAAATAAAACTATCAGCTTTTATAAAGAAAATTTCTCCTAGCATGTAATTCTGAATTTCACTTCGTTCTAGGCATTACTGTGATCTTCATACCAAATGCCATATTAGCAGCATTCTTCAGATTCTTCCACTAACCTGCTAGCAGAAGTCATGTAAAGTCAGTGCAAAAAACCTTATTGTTTGGAATCAGCGCAGTGTACAGCCTCTTGATAAAACTGCACTAGATACTGTCCATAAAACCAGGCTTGGTAACCTTTCTAGAAAGGAAGAACCATGTATTTTAACCATGATAAATAGGACTATCTGCTCCCATGGCAATGACACATTTGGCCCCCGTGGTGGAGTGCCCATTGCCCTCCCAGCCGTCCCTGGCTATTTATAAGGGCAGTGAGGAGGGGCTCCCAAGAGTCCTTTTAAGAGCCTGGAAAAATGGTGGCCACAACAGAAAGATGCAAGGCTGACACGAACTACAAGAAACAAAACATGAAGACTAAGTTCAATTTAAAAGCATCTCAACAGATGTAAAATCTGGGGTTCTGAAACAAGAAAAATTTAAAAACTTTTCCCGAAATCGGAGAGAATATGTGAAAGATTATGTATAGAGTCTAGGCTAGATTTGGGCCAGGAACTGATCATTATTAAATATAAAGGATGACATCTTTGGAGAGCAACCAAGTCATGGGGAAAAGGGAAGAGTAACAAATATCTCACCTACCACACCCTGAAAGCTAATTTCAATTTCAAGTTCATTTAAGAGACAAGAATTCTACTTTGACCAACAGGCAGCACGTATCGTGGGAAGTTATGGCACTCATGAGCAAACTACACTCAGTCTCTTTCCTGATCACCTAAATTTTGTTGAATGCACAGATATGAGACGTTTGGATTTGTGGAAGAAAAACATCACACTCTTTCGTGTCACTATAAATCAACTTCTGTATGTTAGAACAATTTCCTACCTAACTGCTCTGCCCCCCCCCCCAGCCACTCATATACTTCAAGAAATTCTGGTCTCTTGCTCCTTAATTAAGAATTTCAAGAGGTAAGAACAAACACATACGCAGAAACCACACCTCCTTTTCCTGTTGCCATTCAAGACTTTTCTATTATTCCCTTTCCAATGGCTGGCCAGAGAAGAGCCAGCTAACATCCAGTCACCAGCAAGAAAAATATCAGTACAGTATTTCTACTTGTACATTTTTAAATAGTTTGGTCCCATCCAAAGCAAACAGCAGAGTTCTCTACGCATACCACAGAACCTGGGAAAAGTAGGGGGTAGAGACAAAAGGCAGGGCAAGGTCCAACACAGCAGAGGCCACTGGAAAGGAAGGATGAGTGGAAACTGCTCCCATAGATACTGGACACGGATAGAGCATCTGCAGGAAACTTTGGGGGAAGTAAAGGCTTACGTTAGGAAGTCGTGTTTCTTTCTGCCATACATGAAAAACCAGGACACTGTACAGACTGAGGGAGAAGTATAAACACAGATACATTCCATCAAGCACACCAAATGTTTCCTGTAATTAACCTACAACAGTTTGACAGCACCTCCAGTATATTATGGGCAAGCAGCATTAGGCAAAAATTAATGCAGGTTGAAGACACAGGGACCTAGTTGACCTAACTGTGCTGTCACTAACCAGCATCCACCTGGGAAGAGGAGGAACTGGTCAAGGCTTCAACACAAGCTCATCAGAAGCACCATCCCAAAATATATACATTTCAAGTAGGCCATTTCCCTGTTCATTCTCTCTGAGCACGGGAGGAAGACCTACAAGCCGCAGCAAGTCAGGTCTCCCCAAGACAGGTTTCCAGCTCTACTGAAGCAAATCAAGGCACTCTCAAAACCTGTTTGCAGTTTCTGAGGAACAGTCTCACACCCTGAGGAACGTGACTGTCATATTACTCTCCTTTTAAAGTAAAAAAGAAAAAAAAAACAACCAAAGTGCATGATTCAAAATTCCAAGAAAAGTGATTTCATTTTCACAGAAGGAATACATCACATCTCCTTAAACTGCATCAACTAAAGGGCTTTTGCTAACATGCCTATATTGGTTTAGAAGGAACCCTGCAGTATTTGTGCTTTTTAGATTTGTTGGGGTTTTTTTTATTTTATTTTATTTTTTAATGTTCCTTACAACCAGAGCAATGACAGCACCATTTTGTATAACATAGATGGTTTAAGAGGTTGGATCACAGCCATTAACACCTGGCAGTTTTATTCTAGTGAAATGATAAAGCTGATACTGGAAGAGTCATTGTATTTGTCCAAAAGCCCACAGCAGGTTGTACAGCAGGCAATTTTCTCAACAGAGAAAAATGAGAGAGTATCACAGACTGTTTTAAATATAAGGAAAAAAAAATAAGAAAGGCAAAGAAAGGCAACCCACGGCTGGAGTCAAGACAGAGCACCTGTCATGGTGTACTGACAATGTAATGGTGTGTGGGGCTACTCCTATCCCAAACTGTTATATCCCAATCTGTTCCAGCCTACAATCCCACAACACAGCAGTAACACACAACAGGACCACCAGGGAAGTTACTCCCTCTTTGGAACAAAGAATGGTGAAGTTCATATTCTTACATTTTTCCACTTCTCTGAAACATGAAAAGGAACTGGCACAAGATCCTCTACAAATAATGCAAAAAGATGAGGTGCTGGCTCATCCAGATTAACCTCCACAGTTAGAGTAAGATCACAAAACCTGCTCTGGAGTCCAGCACGAGCGGTGTCCCCACACAATGCCAAAAAATACATCTCCAAGAAGGGCAGCCCCAACAAGTTTTTCCGATTATCAACGGATACCAGGAGAATCCAGGCGACAGCCTGTGCTTGCCAGGTACAGGTTAGTTTCCAGCCACTACAAAAACTACAAGCTGATAGCAACATTGAAACCCGGTTTCCCAGTCCCTGCTGCAGAGCCAACCATGCGGATCATGAAAAAAGGATAAAAGCCTTGGGTGCACAGACAGAAAGCACGGGGCAGACTGCAAAGGTGCGAGGCTGCAGCAGCTGCTTTAGCTTACCATACGTCTCCGATCTACTCTCCTCCGAACTAGACTTTGTCTTCTTGGAGGAGCTATCTGCACGAGAGCAGGAGAAAAGGAGAGAGAGATATAGAAAATATGGAGACCAAACATGAGAAAAAAAAAACCAAAAAAAACTTCATGAAAAACACAGACTGATTTATTAGGTTAAATCGTGCAAAACACAAATAAGATGTGAACAAAACATAGGTGAAACACTTGGAATAAGGGGGGAATAATACAAGCATGAAGACACAGGTAACACCACAAAGAATCTATTACAGAATCTAAGACAATAAAAGAAGTTCTCTGCAATGAACTACGGAAAGTATTGTGAATAAAAAAAACAAAAAACAAGCCAGGCACAGAAACTCTGATAACGTTTATCTCCAGAGTAAGTGGAGACATATGCACAGTAGTTCTGCATTCTGAATTCACCCCTTAAAGAGAAAATAATTTTCTGAAGGCTGTAGTAGAGAGTTCATTTATCAGACCAGATCACAAGCATCATAACAGTGGTGCCAGGTAACAGCTCTCAAAATTGGAATGACTTTCATCAAATTAAGATTAGAGGATTCCTGAAGTTTGCTTCTGAATTAAACAAATTCTTTCTACAAAACAGGTTTATAGCCTGAGACCTCCCCTGACCTATCCCAACCTGAAATAATTTTACATTACTTATTCCCAAGGACAAAGGAAAAGAAGATAAGCACTAATTCAGATTTTCTCCCTTACAGGATTTTTTTTCTTTTTTTAACCAACATTAAAAGCCCGTTTTAATTTATTTTGTGCACACTAGGAAGGAGTCATGCAGCTAGTGGCAGAAAGCATTAATGAACAGGAGGGTTTATAAACATCAGCTTCAAATATCTTGTGCAAAGAACACATTCTACAAGTTCTTCCACCTTCACATTCAATACTCTCGTCTTCCACAAGCCCCAGGGAAAAGACTGAACAGCAGAATGCACAGACATGAAAAATGCACATTGTGTGGGGCCAGGAGGCTCAGACAAGAGCCTGTCATGCATTTCATGAACATACACAGTAGTCACTGGGTTAGTGTTTCAGAGAGAGAATGAAAAATACCTGCATGCATCCTAATTTCCAAGGCAGGACTGGAGAGGGTTACCAAATTGACCCTAATTTAAATCTTTTGGAAGGTTAAAACAATAGGATAGAATATCCTTTAAAAACAGAGGTTTCTCTTAAAATAGATCACGTTGAAAAATACAAATTCACTTTGTATGTGACAGAGATGGATCAAAATCCACTAAGGCTGCACGAGAGCAGGAGAAAAGGAGAGAGAGATATAGAAAATATGGAGACCAAACATGAGAAAAAAAAAACCAAAAAAAACTTCATGAAAAACACAGACTGATTTATTAGGTTAAATCGTGCAAAACACAAATAAGATGTGAACAAAACATAGGTGAAACACTTGGAATAAGGGGGGAATAATACAAGCATGAAGACACAGGTAACACCACAAAGAATCTATTACAGAATCTAAGACAATAAAAGAAGTTCTCTGCAATGAACTACGGAAAGTATTGTGAATAAAAAAAACAAAAAACAAGCCAGGCACAGAAACTCTGATAACGTTTATCTCCAGAGTAAGTGGAGACATATGCACAGTAGTTCTGCATTCTGAATTCACCCCTTAAAGAGAAAATAATTTTCTGAAGGCTGTAGTAGAGAGTTCATTTATCAGACCAGATCACAAGCATCATAACAGTGGTGCCAGGTAACAGCTCTCAAAATTGGAATGACTTTCATCAAATTAAGATTAGAGGATTCCTGAAGTTTGCTTCTGAATTAAACAAATTCTTTCTACAAAACAGGTTTATAGCCTGAGACCTCCCCTGACCTATCCCAACCTGAAATAATTTTACATTACTTATTCCCAAGGACAAAGGAAAAGAAGATAAGCACTAATTCAGATTTTCTCCCTTACAGGATTTTTTTTCTTTTTTTAACCAACATTAAAAGCCCGTTTTAATTTATTTTGTGCACACTAGGAAGGAGTCATGCAGCTAGTGGCAGAAAGCATTAATGAACAGGAGGGTTTATAAACATCAGCTTCAAATATCTTGTGCAAAGAACACATTCTACAAGTTCTTCCACCTTCACATTCAATACTCTCGTCTTCCACAAGCCCCAGGGAAAAGACTGAACAGCAGAATGCACAGACATGAAAAATGCACATTGTGTGGGGCCAGGAGGCTCAGACAAGAGCCTGTCATGCATTTCATGAACATACACAGTAGTCACTGGGTTAGTGTTTCAGAGAGAGAATGAAAAATACCTGCATGCATCCTAATTTCCAAGGCAGGACTGGAGAGGGTTACCAAATTGACCCTAATTTAAATCTTTTGGAAGGTTAAAACAATAGGATAGAATATCCTTTAAAAACAGAGGTTTCTCTTAAAATAGATCACGTTGAAAAATACAAATTCACTTTGTATGTGACAGAGATGGATCAAAATCCACTAAGGCTCAAAAAAAAAAACAAAAAACAAAACAACCCAAGAAGGAATACGAGCCCTAGTCGAGCCTGTAATATCTCCAATTTCACACTTCAACTAAAACAGCCAGAAGAACTGCTCAAAACTAATTACAGTATTTGCCTACCGAAATTCCAGACTAACTTTTCTGAAAGAGGAAGCAGTTATAATTGTTCACTGACACCACTAATCTAGGTTTATTCTTGCACAGTTACCAGCTGCTTTGTAGATGAACGTGTTTAAAAGCAAGCCTGTATCATTTTGATGCTCACATACTTCAAAAAGGCTTTGCCATCACAGAACCCAACTCTGAAACCCCCATTTGTTGACACATTCAATTAATTTCTATTCCCACGCCCAGTACTTTTCAAACTGAAGTCTGAATTTTTACCTGTAAAGTTTTAGGACTTTACCTGTCGGATCAAAGTCGTGTGTGCTGCTGCAGCGTTCAACCTTCTGTTTCTTGTCAGCTGGAGACTCTCTGCTCAGAATGCTGCCGTGCCTGGCAAAGCAAAGCAGAGGATCCTGACTTGTGGGACCACCAGCAGCCCTGCCCGACCAAGGCTCTTGGAAATAACCTTAGCTAGCTCTGCGTGCTAACGAGGAATGGAGATTAGAAAGGTATGTATTAAGTTCACCTAAAAAATTTATTCCCAGACTGAATTCGAGTGGAGAAATGATCTCCCTCAGAATCTTTGGGACTGTATCCAAGGTTCTAGAAACAGCATCATTAATCTTTGAAACCGTAACAGCAAGTGCATTCTCTTCAGCATTCAACACCAGGCCATATGTGATTTCAGAAGTAAAGTAAATTTAAGTCACATAAAACTGAAAAAACTCCCGAAATCTTAACTCCACCTCCTCTCCCAGCAAACTTTAAATATCTTTGCATGCAAAAATTAAACATTTAGAATACCCCCCCATCACAGGAAGTGCCTGTACATCATGCACCAACATAGTGTCACTTTCTCTGACCGTCTCAAATCTCAGGTAAGATAACCCCCCCGTACACCTAACACAAATGCAAATGGTAACACTATGCCATGCACTTCAAGTACACCATCAACTATATTTTTGGCACCCTGTCCCAATCTGGATATTGATTTCCTCACATCTGCAATGGGTACTATTATCTGTGTTTGCACATTTTTTCTTCCTTTTAAAAGCATTCTTCCTTCAAAAATGCTGTATCATAATTTGCAATAAAGATAAACAATTGAACTTCAGGAACTCACCTTGTAGGTTTTTTGAGAGGAAACCTGAAAAGAAGAAAGAACATAAGTTTAATGAACTTTTTTATGGCTCAATATTAAGTTTGATATCAACATTAATGCTTAAATACAGTTATTTTACACTTCTGTAATACCTTCACAAGAGAACAAGTCTTTTTCTGTTCTTCTACTTTAGCCAATTATTAGTCCATTTACAGTTGATTCAACTGGGTAAAGAATTATTTTATGCTTCAGGTTTCAAATAGAACTAAGCACAGAAGGAGAACCTACGCTCTCAAATCCAGCATCTAATAGCTCTTTCTTCTTCCTCTCATAAGAACCAGTTCCATACATTAAAAATTAATGTAGCTCTAGCTACATTAGTAATGTACCTCTAGCTGGGACATCCCTCCTGTGTGGTTCTGCAGTATCAGGATGCAGGAGCTCAGGCTGACATCTCCTCCTAACAAGATCTCTAACCATGTTCCTGAAACTGTGTGAAATTCCTGTCTTTGAGACAAGCTCAACTGAGGAAAAGTCAAGTTGAAATCGTATTAATTATTCCAAATATTATTACTAGGACCTACAGATAACATAGATAACACAAACCCACAGTTAAAGGGAGGAAGAAGCATATATGCTTTTTTTAAGTAAGGAAAAGATATGGGACCTATGAAACCAGGATTTTTTTTCCCTTGAGTTAACACAGAAAAATGACAGAACAAGGTATATGCCATCCTGCTTAAGGCACCAACTTCTACTTTCATAAACAGAACTAGTTTTTTCTCCGAATTTTTTCTAAGTTTAGCTCCATTCCCACCTTCTAAATGTTTCTAGATCCTTTGGCTGGAAAGCAATACAAACAATTTAGAGCTGTGTGTGTACATACAAAAAAAGAGTAGATAACTTAAGTCACTTTTTGCTCTAAATGAGGACACCTACAATTGTCATAGCTGATAATTTCCTCCTATATACATAAAAGTTATCCTTATTGCATTCAATCATCCAGTTTCTCCTTTTTATACAGGGTTTCCAAGAAATAATAGGGTGAGAGTTAGAGGGGGCAGAGAAGATATTCAATTAAAAAGAAATAAAATACCACAAAAGTAAACAGGGCATTAAACAACTCAACTTTGTTGTGGGGGGGTGGGGGGGGTGTTGGCTTAGTTTCAGCAGACCTATTTGGTAAAGATCACTAGTCCCATGGTAAATCTGCATTGGAAAAAGACAATAAGAGTGCAGGATGGTTCCTAAGGACACCTCTTCCAAACTCAGCCTCAACTGAAGTGAGCAATGGCCCTGGACCAATGGACCAAGCTGGTTCAACCTGCAGAACCAAACCATTCTCCGAAAGCATTTCAGAGCATTACAACAAAGATTCCTTGAGCACCGCCAAGAAGACTGCCCCAAACTCACACCTCATGTTTGAAGCTCCTTTCTCCAAAGGAGGGGCACCTTGTCACCCATTCCCTTTTCCTGGGTAACTACACAAAGTGGCCCAGCCAGAAATAGCACAGCCTTAAAGCTGCAGGGACTCCCTCCCCATTACCTGAAAAACACAACTGGATACACAGCAGAAGTACCTGATTTAATGCCTCTCTCTGAATAATGGGTGTTCCATTACACGCGTCTACACCCAACGTGTTGGCCAGCTCACACATGCCAATCCCCTCTGCAAGCAGGCTCTAATACAGCAGCTCTGAAACGAACATCTGATGACACATTAGGCAAGTGAAATTAAAACGTTGACTATTACTGAAAATAATTACACACATCAAGACACTTGCCATCTTGGAGATAACAGCACCACATTTAGTTGAAATACGACAACGGCTTCAAAATTAAGGGGATAGATAGGGCCTGTGATTGCATAAGCCTTAGGAGCCCATAGGTGAAGCAGCACATAAGTTAATTAATTGAAGAAAATAGGTTGCACACAGACTCCACAAGAAATTGTAGTCCTTTTTTCTCCCCCCCCGAAAGCACTATTTTAATCTCCCAAGTCTGGGAAATCCACTCAGATTCAAATAAGGAGCGCGTAGCTAATCAAGCCTCTCCTCATTCTGCTCTACCTGCAAAGCCAGATCCCTCTAGCATTCAGTCCTCCCATTTACAAATTTTGACCAGTAAAAATCTACTTTGTACAAGACAGACAACCTGAACCCCAAAGCAACAGAAGTCATCTCAGGCCAACTCTCTGAGCACTGTATGGTAAACAGATGCAGCAGTAATCAAGTGTCTCATTCAAACGCAGAAGAGACAAAGGAATCCAAGGGAAGACAACCTATCATCCCTCCAAAGGCAGGGCAGGATGGTTAAAGATGAATTACACCACATTTTGTTCTAATGCATTTGAACTTTTGAGCTGCATAAAAAAAATCCTGACACTACTAACAAATATTTCAATAAAGCATTTAAGTGAAAACCTTTATCCCAGAGTGTTTATTATCAGACACCCAGAACTCCAGGCTTCTCCTCCTGCAGTGAAAGAAACCATTTGTGAACAACATTAATTTAATTCACTGCTGTACCGTTTGGGTTGTTTCAGAGTTATTTATTTCCTGTTCAAGGATGAATTGCCAGTGTTGTATTTTAGACGTCTAGAAAGCTGCGTAAAACCTTTCTCCTTGTACGTTGACTATTTGGGAAGTTTTTGTATATAAAATGGCACTGAAATCACCCAAATTTTTTTCTGTGCTTTGCTGTTAACAGTAAGCATGGAAGTCTGATGAGTGGGAGCCAAAATGCCCCAGCTCCCTAGGCCGGTTGGGTCTCACAAGGAGCAGGCCCACTCCGGGAAGAGAGGCCAGAGCCCAGGCCCGGGAAGGTAGTAGGCCCAGGATGGTAGGAGGCCCAGGCCGGTAGTAGGCCCAGGATGGCAGGAGCTCATCGCTCCCTTCCCTCTGTCCCCCCACGTCGGAGCAGGGCTGCGGAGCACGCCGGGAGCCGCTCCCGGAAGATCTGGAGCCCCTTGGCCGCCCGCCAGCTTCCTGCGTTTCTTTCTTCTCCGAAGCGGGGAGGGAGGGAGGGAGACGGTGGGGAAGCGGGGCGGGCAGCAGGTCATCGCCTCAGGGAAGCCTCTGGGGCACGGGCAGCACGTTCACCACAGGCCGTGAGGCTGAGGGGTCTCCAGGCCCTCTTCTGTACTTGCTTTACTCCCGAGGTATTCCCTAAAACCCCTGGAGGAGCAAGGGGGTGCTCTTTGCTCAGCCAGGCTGGAGGAGAAGCTCCCCAGCCTCCCCAGAAAAACTCCCCTCCTGGACTTGAAACCGTTCCAGGCCACCAAGTTATGAAATCCCAGAGAGGAGAGACGGAGGAGTCGCTCAGCGGAGACTCCAACTGGGATTAATGTCCTTGCTCCACGGGCTAGGGGGGATCACTCCCTACAGAAGTTCCTCCTCTTTTGCCAGTTTCCTACCCAAATAGTAACCAGCACATGTTGATCTGCTGAAGATGTTCTTCAGTTCCCACACACCCTTGTACACTAGAGCAGAAAGCAACCCTACTTATAGATTTTAAGTGGGAAAATGAAATTTAATCAAAGAACACAGAAGAGCTCCCAGGAGTTTATCCAACAACCATTTGCTCTGCAGTGCAACTTACCATCACTCTGAAATAGCTTTAAGTTTGAAAGCAGCACTGAAACTCCCCTCGCTGTCTTAGAGCATCCAGCACTATATATAAGATAAAATGTATTACACCTACTATTGTAAACACCCTGGAAGCTGAAGGCACAGCAGGGTGCGGTTAACAGCTGGAGACTTAATTCCAAATCTAGCTGGCAAGTTTAGGCTACACGATAAAACCCTGTAGACATTTTGTCTGATAACTGATGAACATCAGCACATTTTCAAACAAGTTGTTCCACTCTCCCAAATACCAGGAACAATTAAAAGCCAAGTCACATTTTGTTTTTAAAATACTAGGTTGAATAATTTAAGTAATTTAAATGCATCAAATTACTAAAAGTATGTCTTGTTAGTCATGCTGCATTAGGAAAATCTATTTACCGTAAAGTCAAGTGAGAAAAATACACCTACAACTTTTAATCCGTGAGTGGGGATTAAAAATTATACTTCTCCAAGTTAGCTCACACACGCATGCACCGTTCAGTACTGGACCAGTGCCTAACAACTACCTTGAAGCCAAGACAGAAAAAGATAGTTTTAAGACCTAATGTGTCAAAATACAGCAGAGCGAGGAAGGATTCCCAGCTTCCAAGAGTACAAAGCATTCCATTCTAGCCTGGGAGGTTGAAAATATAGCTGACCAGAAATAGCACAGCATTCAGATAACCATGTTGGGTTTTTTTTTCTTCCTCCCATACTAAAATATTACCAGAATTCAAGCATCTGCTATCTCAAAAACTGATCAAAACCAAAAATATTTAGATTCAGACAAGGGCCCCAACCTTGGAAATATTTATTCATGTGCCTAACTTTAGTTCCGTTTACTCCAGTAGGACTACTCACATGCCTGAAATTAAGCTTGTGTGTTTGCACGATGCAAGTATAAATTACTACAACTTGTGTGGAGATGAGTAAGAAATATTGTGAAACCCATACAAAAGAGAACAGCCAAAAAATGCTTGCTTGACAAAACTAATCTTTAATTAGGAGATGAACGGTTGCAATAGAAGCTTCTTCATTGCTTTACTAGTTTAATTTAAAGACGACGTTGTTTGTTACAAACAATCCCTCTTAGAGAATTCTACATGTGAAAGGAAAGCAGCAAAGACACCTGACCACCCCAAACTCAGGAGAGATGAGAAATGTTACAGGTTCACTCAATTGCCTTTTGTACATATTTAGAAAAAGAAGAGGAAAACCAAAGGTTAACTCAAAGTCTGAAAAGCTCCCCCCAGTAAAAACTCCAAAGCTTGTCTATTTAAGATGACATCACCCTACTTCAGGAGGTTTTCACCAAGTAATTAGTCAATAAGAAGCCTCCTGCCAGCACCACCTCCACGCATTTTGGTGAAAAAAGCGAGTTGTGTAACTGGCAGCCACACTTCTGGAAGGCTGAGCTGGATTGGACTCTCCTCTTGC